CCGTGCTAGATTTCAAACTCACTTTACCATTTTGTATTGAAAGATATACAATTATCAGAAGGAAAGAAAATTATGGCATTATAGTCCCTTGCATCTTAATATGTTAGACATATAAGCAAATATTTTTGAATATTATGTTTTCATTTAGTCTGAAACAAGAAAAAAATACCTCCTCAATTGAAATTCTAATCAACTTACTTAGTACTTTCTATCTTTAAAGACAGTTGTCAGTACATGTACTTCTTTGTTTAATCAAACTTACATGGCAATCAAATTTACTACACTGTAATTCTGGCAAAATAATAAAAAAAATGAATACAGTTACATTGTCTTTTAATATCAAACAAAGGAAAAAAATGATTAGGAAAGAAAAACATAATGAATTGAAAATCAGTCAAAAAAAATTTACAATTCTTTCAAAGCATCAGTACTCTATACTTCATAAAACAAAATACTAGCATAGAACAAAATACAGTTAAAAAAGTTTTACATAGTCTTTGGCAAATTAAAGATTTTATTTTGGTATCCATTTTTTTGTATTGATAAATATCTTAGATATTATTAATATCTTAGAAAATACAGCATAAAAGAAACTATAGTATATATATAACATGAGAATATAATGTACATGTACTCCTGAAACATGATACAAGCGTATTTATTTATTTGGAATAATATTGGCATTTTTGAAATGGTTACTATTATTACTTATTCCCACAAAATATTCTATTTCCTTTTTCAATTTGGATTTATGTGAAACAAATTAAAATATACCTAGTAGAAATATGGTTCAGTTAGTCTTCTTATATGTACATAATCCATATTCTATTTAAATAGCTGTATTCATAATATTCAGAACGGCAAGTACTACAGGTAACAAGTATGAAACCAAATCACTTTTAAGGAATCAATTTTCTTTGTGTGTGTGTTTTTTTTTAATCCAAAGCTTACATTAACAAATATCTCTAATCAACTGCAAATAACTACCTGATTGTTAGGTTAAGTTGTTTATTGCACAAACTAAAAAAAAGAAATGAACTTTTTATTAATACTCTGCTAAGTTAAGCTTCCGGACTACTTAAAGAATACTCTATTGGAATTCATTAGTATATAGCTTTAGGATATAAAATATCAATAATGACTTGAAATAATAATTTCAATAGGTTACAGGTAACATATCAATATGATTATTCTTGAACAAGAATTATATTGATTGTCTGAGATTTCATTAGTAATATTCTACACAATGTCATTGCTTTGATTTTCAGTTATTTATTACTAGACTAGTGTTTAAGTGAAAAAAAGCTAAATAAATCAAAAATCTAAGATTCTAAAAATGACATTGCCACTAACTGTATTGTTAGGCTCTGTATAAACCGGAAAATTGTGACACTTAGAAGCAGGTTAACAATTGTTAAAATCTTAAATATTATGGTCAACATTAGCAAGAATAGAAACCATAATTATGTTTTTGGGTAGTAAAAAAAATTACTACATTTATGGAGGATATAAAAAAGATTGCGAAACTTTCAGAAATAGCAATTAAATTCACGAAATAGCAGGATAAAAATTGCTTCATAAGTTGATCTCTTATACTCGGATTACAAATACTGGGCATAAATGTCAAACACTGGCTGAAAACTAGATTAAATGTGAAGCTCTTGTTTATGTTTAAGAAAATTATTTATAAGGTTTAGTTTAAATAAAAAATATTTATTACTGAACCGGTAATGACTAAGTAGTCAATGGCACTCAAATACTTATACATGTATACACAAAAATATACAGCCAAGTTCTGGATTTCAATATCACAAATAGCAGCTTTCAATATTAAAGGCATCAAGTGACAAAGACATAAGCTGAACAGCGAAATTAACAATGGGAAAAATGAAAACACACGCATGAAATGATTAAAACCTTTCATATCCATGTAAAAAATCGTATTTGAACTACAAAACAGCATCCATACAGGTACCAAAAAAAAAAAACAGTGAATGTTATTGTGTCCTTGGTACTTCAATAAAAATCTTCAAACAGTCCAATATAAGTACACGAATAGTTGTTCATTTGTTCAGTGAAAGTGGAAAAGATCAAGCAATTATTACAGATATGGAATATAATTTGTAATACAGATATGGAATATAATTTGTAATTATAGAACAATACTCATGACTCCCCCACACTTAAGTTATGGCATAGTGCTCTTGTTCAATTTTGTTGACACCAGACACAGGAAGTGTGGGATGGGGTTGATGAGACTTTAAAATTCACAGGAAGTGAATCTAGTGGCGACATCTAGTGTCCCTCAGTGTTAACTTTCCTTGACCTTTGCTACTGTTATACCATTTTGACAGGAGCAGTGAGTAATCCAGTGATTTTGAGCTTTGCCATCCTTTTCTGGTCTTGGATTTCCAATTTCTCCGAGTCCAGACCAGTAATACGCCTACAAAAAGCAAAGATTACTAACATACAAAATCCTAGATATGAAATTCTACAAATCAGGATCCTAATAATATAAGTAAACTGTCTATTACTCAAACAAAGTGGGACATGGGTATAGATTACATTTTCTTTCAATCGAAAATATACATGGCCTAGACAAATCTCGTTCCATCAAACTTTCCACACAAGCCAAATAAGTATTTCCATCACGCAAGTGATAAAATTGAAAAAATCGGGACCATTCCACGTACTTGGTTTATAGTCTCATATATATATACATGTAGTCAAGGCTTAGGTCATTTCTTTCAAGTCCTACTCAACAGTTAAAACTTTTGAAAAAAAGTAACCATATAACAATATTCTAAATTTTAGAATTACTACTGCTTAGTATTCTAATTTGTATAAATAAAGTGGTTTGTAAATCCAATAATAAAACACTTACGACCCAGTAGGACGTTGTGCCCCCTATGATATATCCTCCTATAACGTCCTGGATGTGGTGTTTATTATCAGTGATGCGTGACATTCCCGCGTACACCGCCCATAAAAACCCTGCCCACTGGAATATGGCCCATCCCAGATGATACTGATTTCTTCTATTCATGAAAACTTCTTGTGTAAAAATCTGCAAAAAATGAGAAAAAAGATGCCCTTAATGAATTGCAAACATTACCGTTTTTTAGCTCTACTGGTCAGAGACCAGAAAAGCTTATGCGATAGTAATGCGTCCGGCGTCCATCCGTCTGTCTGTCTGTCTGTAAACAATTTTTCAAAATGCTACTCCTCCTACAGTTTTGGTCTGATTTTAATATAACTTGGCACACAAGTAGACTACACTAAGATACATTATCCTGTGTATCGATTTTTGATTTCGATGAACGATGTTGCCGTGGTTACTAAAAATAGAAATTTCTGTGAAATACTTTCAAAATGCTACTCCTCCTACAGTTTTGGTCTGATTTCAATATAACTTGGCACATAAGTAGACTACACTAAAATACATAATTCTGTTTATCGATTTTTGATTTGGATGAACTGTGTTGCCGTGGTTACTAAAAATAGAAATTTCTGTGAAATACTTTCAAAATGCTACTCCTACAGTTTTGGTCTGATTTCAATATAACTTGGCACATAAGTAGACTACACTAAGATACATAATTCTATGTATCGATTTTAGATTTCGATGAACGGTGTTGCCGTGGTTACTAAAAATAGAAATTTCTGTGAAATACTTTCAAAATGCTACTGCTCCTACAGTTTTGGTCTGATTTCAATATAACTTGGCACACAAGTAGACTACACTAAGATACATAATTCTGTATATCGATTTTTGATTTCAATGAATGGTGTTGCCTTTGTTACTAAAAATAGAAATTTCTGTGAAATACTTTCAAAATGCTACTCCTCCTACAGTTTTGGTCTGATTTCAATATAACTTGGCACATAAGTAAACTACACGTAAATACATAATTCTGTATATCCATTTTAGATTTCAATGAACAGTGTTGCCGTGGTTACTAAAAATAGATATTTCTGTGAAATACTTTCAATATGCTACTCCTCCTACAGTTTTAGTCTGATTTCATTATACTTGGCACACAAGTAGACTACACATAGATACATAATTCTGTATATCGATTTTTGATTTCGATGAACGGTGTTGCCTTTGTTTCTAAAAATAGAAATTTCTCTGAAATGCTTTCAAAATGCTACACCTCCTACAATTTTGGTCTGATTTCAATATAACTTGGCACACGAGTAGACTACATTAAGATACACAATTCTGTGTATCGATTTTTGATTTCTAGGAATGATGTTGCCATGGTTACTAAAATTGAAAATACTCTAAAAGTTTATTAATAGCTATTAACAGCTGTAGTCTTATTGCAGTATCTTGCCACAAAAAGAGCTCAATCAAGCATCATTATTCTATTTATTGTTGTTGTAAAGTTTCAAGTCCCAACTGCTACTTTTGTCTTCATTTGTTTTAAGTACAAACCAGTAGAGCTTCAGTCTCAACAGAGACTTCTGGTTTATGATTGCATGGAATTTTACGTACTGAAACCCGCCCTTTGAAATACTGCGAAATCACAAATTTTCGTGGGGTTTAAATTTTTGTTGTTTTTGAGGCATGAAGAGACCCACAAATTCATGTCCACCACGAAATTTAAAATGTTATATAAATCACTACTCAACAATTCTTCATCCACGAAATCAAATCCCAAATACCTCGAAAAATTTGACCTCACCAAAATCCGTGACTTAACAATATCGTACTCACAATCAAATATAGCATTCCAAAAATAGTAATCCCGGCATGACTTGACGGAAAACTTCGCCTGAAATCGAAAATTTTAGATAGTTATGACCGTGTTTACAAAATTTTAAATGCGCTAGACTTAAATTTTTATTTACTTTTTTGCTTCTGATAAGTGCAGAGACAGAATATTGAATGCAGGTAACCACATCAAAGAGACAAACATAATTTATCAGATGTACATTACTATTGAATACATAAATATGTTTTCCGTACAGGTATACAACACGTAAATTTGCATTAAACATAAAAAAGTAAAATTTTCAATTTTGTACTCTGTTACCTATTTCAAAATTAGTTTAAAATACATGTCTGTAAGAGACAAATCAATATCTAGACTACCATTGGTACATTTGTAACTTGATCTCTAGTGGAGAGATGGGCCAGCTGTTCAGTCCATGATCTTTGTAGGATTAAATAATTCTTAAATTTGCTTAAAATATTTGTACAATGATATGAACATGCATAGATGCACTATGCACCTGCACCTTTTTTCAGAAAATTCATTGATTTTCCCCCTCGCGTTATTCTGAGGGTATTTCTCTCCGGTCAAAATAAGTTGATGAGGAAAGTTCATATATTATACATAGACCTTCGATTAAGTAAATGTACACCTTTAAAAGCACTGGCCAAGTTGTAACGTATGTCGACGTTTAATTAAATCTATTGATAAAAACTTTCAGTAGACGGTGTTATACGTGTTTTAGCTCTACTGGTCAGAGACAAGAAAAGCTTATGCGATACTAATGTGTCCGTCGTCCGTCTAGCTATCTGTAAACAATTTTTCAAAATGCTACACCTCCTGCAGTTTTGGTCTGATTTCAATATAAGTTGGCACACAAGTAGACTACACCAAGATCACAGGCACTTGTTTCGTATACGGGGTACCCCCTACCTATATTTACCACAATATTGGTAGGGGGTACCCCGTATACGAAACAAGTGCCTGTGACTAAGATATATAATTCTGTTTATGATGCACGGTGTTGCCGTTGTTACTAAACGTAGAAATTTCTGTGAAATATTTTCTAAATGCTACTCCTCCTACAGTTTTTGGTCTGATTTTAATATAACTTGGAAACAAGTAGACTACACCAAGATACATAATTCTGTGTATCTGTTTTTATACCCCCGCTCCGAAGGAGAGGGGGTATACTGTTTTACCCTTGTGTGTCTGTCTGTCTGTGTGTCTGTCCGTAACAAATTTTCGTCGCAGTTTTCTCAGCAACTACCTATTGTAGATGCTTGAAATTTTAACACAGTCTTCTCTGAGGCATGCCATACGCTGGGATACATTTTTGTTCAAATCCGATGTCAACCTCCTGTTTGTCTGTGCGTCTGTCTGTTTCATACATAACAAATCTTTGTCGCAGTTTTCTCAGCAACTACTCATCGCAGATGCTTGAAATTTGAACACAATCTTCCCTAAGGCATGCCGTACGATGGGATACATTTTTGTTCAAATCTGATGTCAACTTCCTGTTTGTTTGTGCGTCTGTCCGTTTCATATATAACACATTTTTGTTGCAGTTTTCTCAACAACTACTCATCACAGATGCTTGAAATTTTAACACTATCTTCTCTGAGGCATGCCATACGTTGGGATACATTTTTGTTCAAATCCGATGTCAACTTTCTGTTTGTCTGTGCGTCTGTCTGTTTCATACATAACAAATTTTTGTCGCAGTTTTCTCAGCAACTACTCATCGCAGATGCTTGAAATTTGAACACAATCTTCCCTAAGGCATGCCGTATGGTGGGATACATTTTTGTTCAAATGCGATGTCAATTTCCTGATTGTCTGTGCGTCTGTCCGTTTCATATATAACAAATTTTCGTCGCAGTTTTCTCATTAACTATTCATAGCAGATGCTTAATTTTAGTACACTCTTTGTTGAGGCATGCCATATGGTGGGATTATTTTTGGTATGAATCTGATGTCAACTTCAAATTTTTCTGTACATCCGCCTGTAATTGAACTTGTGTATATTAACATGATAGTGTTTATTTACATCAGAGCTGGGGTATTACTAGTGAGCATTGGTTACTAGTGAGCATTGGTTCACAGATCTTGTTGATTTGAATGCTGCAGTTTTGGTCTGATTTTAATATAACTTGGCACACGAGTAGACTACACTGAGGTACATAATTCTGTTTATCGCTTTTTGATTTCGATGAACGACGTTGCTATGGCTACTAAAAATAGAATTTTTTGTGAAATACTTTTAAAATACTACTCCTAAGAACAGTTTTAGTCTGATTATGATATAATGTGGCATGAAAGTTGTTTTTTTTTAATTTTGAAAATGGTGTTGCCATGGTAACTTAAATTGAAAATTCTGTAAAAAATTTTATTAAAAGTTACTCCTACAGTTGTAGTCTTTTTGCAATTTTGCCACAAAAGAGACTTAATCAAGGATCGATATTCTATATTTTGCTGTTGTAAAGTTTCAAGTCCCAACTGCTACTTTTCTCTTTCTTTATTATAAGTACAACCAGTAGAGCTACAGTCTCGACAGAGACTTCTGGTTACATCATACTTTCGCCCCTTTTGATCAAACTAAACACTGATTATGCAACGCGTGTTATACCGGGTACTTAGGACTTTTTGTTGCTTATAAGCAATACCCAAATATTCCAGTTTCAGTAAAAATGTCTTCTTCAATATGCATTTGCTAAAAGTACAAACGACGGAGAGAAGTTGTTGAATCTTGGATATTTCCGATAAGCAATTTCATCTTTTTTCATATTTTACCAATTCGTAATTTTTATTTGAAAATTAAAGGTGAAAGTCATAATTCGTAAGTTTGGCAAAATGAGTTCATTGTGTATTTTGCATCTTCGCTAGCCATGTTTTTTTTTTTTTTTTTATTTTTTTTTTTTAATTTGCCCACTCCGCTCCCCATAAACGGGAAATCCTTGGCTTGCGCAAATTTGAAGAAATACTGTGAATCTGAAAATTCTTACAAGATTCCAAAATTTGGGAAAGTCACTATTATATATATTTATTCACGGGTTATAAGCAATCGATTAAAGAACTTAACCGCTTTGATTTTGCACCTGTAAATGACAAATGGTTCAGAGGGATAGTTTTCTCTGATGATTGTGATAAAGAGGGGCACATTTCAAATTTGGAAAACAATATTTTGTGACATTAAAATTGTCCCACAACTTACATAGATTCTATGGCAGCCTTTCTACTACTTCCTGTACAGTTGAACTCCGTTACGTAGCTACTACAATTCATGCCAGGCCACACGGGTTTACAAGCTTCAAAGAAGTTGGGTCTAAGTTCTCCATAAAACAATTTCACGACGTTCATGAAGAAATAAACAGAGGAAATTCCAAATGCATAGGACACCCATATTCGGTACAACTTTTTAAGAGGTATCACATTATACGCTGTAACTATAACCTATAAAATAAAACAAAAAATAATTTACGTTTTTTTTGTATTAATACCAATTTACACGCGTTTATGATCTTTAAAAACTCTTGGTAAAATTGTCAGTAGAAAATAGAGGAACAAGCTCCTTTGCTTCGTATAAAATATGTTATAAAATAAAATTTATAATATTTTATTAACAAAACATAATATACTGAATGCAGATCATGATAGAGAAATGTACAAAACATATGAAGGTTTAAGTGTTAAAATGCATGTTTGAGTATGCTATATATAATACAGTGAATGTTAGAACTACAAGAAGCAAGCCTGATATACACCGGTAAGTATGGAGGAATTCTGTGTGCCTTACCCGGGGGAAAAATTTGATTTTGACGTTAAAAAAATCATACAATTTTCTTCAAATTACCTGATACCTTTTTTTTTATCGTCAAAAATATTTGCTGATCAATTTTCAGATAGAAAATGCATAGTAAATGTACTTTTTTAGTCGTATTTTCTGAAAAATTTGAGATTTGCAATGTTTCGATATATATAGTTTGATTAACTTAAATGATTTGAAGAATTCCCGTAGGTTAATACACATATTACTTTGAGAGTTGGGGTATTTTTGTGAGCATTTTCAACTATTCTATGCCCGATTTTTAGAACCTGAGGATCGGGCGCTCACTCAGGACTTGTGACATGTAGGCCTAAGTACAAACTAACGCTCGAATTCGAAACATTACAATATATAAATCAGCAGTCGACAATCATATTAGAACTTTGTATTAAATGAAAGTTATATTAGCCTTCATTGTAAAATAAATATAATCAATTAAACAAACAAAAGACTAAAAGGTATGATATGTTTCATTGTAAAATAAAATATGTCAGAGAGGACATTTTCAACAAATTACACACATATGAAATAGCGCAATTCGACTAATCGTTAGAACATTTTAGTTCATTCAGAATATATTGCTTTTCAGTTTGTCACAGTTAAAATCCTGGTCGAATCAAAACACCTTACCCTTACTCTTGGTGATGCTTATGTAAAGTGTAAGATAATAAGAATGTCAACTTGCTCAAGTTAAATCACAAGCAATGCTAGTACTGCGAAATCACTATTTTTCATTGGGGTTTAATTTTCGTTGTTTTCGAGGTATGGAGATGGAATTTATGACCATCACGAAATGTTAAATTCCGTATGCATTACTACTAGCCTCGAAAATTTGACCCCACGAAAAAATGTGCTTTTACAGTTAGTTAAAATTAAATTGCTTCAAGAAGAGTAAAGTATGTGCACTAAAATGAACTTTAAAATATTAGCTATCTAACGGGTGATCCCTGCAAAAATTAAATGCCTGAAACACATGCAATGCCAAGTAAGTAGAAACACGTCTATCTACAATGTATATTATCCTTCATTTGCAACTATACTATATAAACAATACTCTTTTTGCACCACTAATCACAGAATACTAGCACAATGCCAAAACAGCCAGACGCCTCACTAGAAAAATCTAAATATGATGGAAGCTCCCGAGCCTTCAATATTCATTTTTCAGTAGATATGGGATAATTCACGGCAAGCCCATATTTGAAAGCGTCTTTTTTAAGCAGGTCGGAAGTCTTCATCATCAAAAGCAACGAAGTAAAATGGACGCAAAATTCTTTTTAAAATGTAGTTTTAAATCCACTTTGCAAATATTTCATAATGATAATAGAGAAGTTACTCGATAAAAAAAAAACTCTTTTAAACGATTTTCATTTATCCTAAGACTAAGAAAACACTCCGCTAAATGTAAATTTGATCCAAAAAAAAAACCTTTTTAATAATGTTAGAATTTTGTGCCAAAAAGATTTAGAAGTGCCTCTACATGTGAACGTTTCTTCCTCTAGGAGAAAAAATTGTAGCGCATGATCGTCCGAGAGAAAGAAATGATTCTTCTAAAAGAATGCTAAAAGCCCCAACCAAACACACTTCCAAATTAACGGTTCTACTTACAAAAATCAAAGGAAATGTACCAGTCCCATAAATAAGTGAATTGGGGACAGTGCTTTCAGTGTAAGGGAAGCTTAATCGCTGATCGTCACAGAAAAAGCCCCTAACAACATATGGCACGGCTACTTCCAGATCAACAGCTTTATAGAGAACTGAAACAGAGGACATGCTTAAATAGTGCAAACAACCTTAGGCATGTTCTTCTGCTTTCGGACGCCTTGTGAGAATTGAATGACTAGTACTGCAAGGGACAACGTAATGTTGTTGTATGGTCTTTAATGGAATTTTACTAATTTCGCAAAAGATGAAGATTTTGTCAGAACTGCAAATGATTTTTTCATAGCACAAGCGATCATCCAATTCCTCCCTGGGCGCCCGTAATTTGGAAGAACATGGTGACTTTTCCTGAGACTTACGAACACAAGAGGTAGTCCGCCTGTGGCATAGACAGCGTTATTGCTGACTGAACCTTCTTTATATGGAAAACTCAGAGATTTATCTGAGCAAAAAAATCCCCGAACAGCTAAAGGCTCAACTACTTCCGTAATCAATGCAAAGTATAAAGCTGAAATATAGAAAAATCATCAATGTGTGGCATAGCCAAATACATATATACGAGTTAAATGCAAATGACACTTTCATATATTTTATCAAGGATTGTCAGTGTTGTCCACGAGCTTGACGGACAGCCCTCGTATATTACTTAATTTTCAAATCTTTGAAATTACAGCTGAAATAATGAATACATTCCCATTAAGTCTTGTACAAGTGTACTCTTTATCACCTGACGCCAAATGTATTTACACCACACCTATAATCACGTTAACTATAGTACACTAGCAGTACATTTTTTAAACGCGGTTTTTCTTGACTGAAAGTATCGGAATCTTTATTTTAAGTAAATTACTTGTTTTTTTTTTTACTCTATGTGCATTCTCGCAATTCTATAAAACAACACAAATCAATTATCATATTGAAAAGACCGCGTAAAAGCTCATAATCATTTAACCAGTTGTCTTTTCCTTTAGGTCCACATGTAAATGGGTAAAACCCGAGTCATTTCATTTTTGTAAATAAGGAACATTTTTTTTCTCTTAAAAAAACATTCAAGTGCATGTCAAACATACTTTTAAGTGGATCTTAAATGTATGTATTCAAATTTTAAGTGCATGCATTTTGAGTATAAAAATATTATACTTTTTGTTTCATATTTTACTTTGAGCAGTTCTTTTTGACAAGATAATCAACCGGATCGTCCTTCTGCACCCTAGATGGTAGCCATACGGATTAATCAGCTACTTAACTATTATAATTTAGCATCTTCCCAAGTCAAGAATTTCTGATCCGCTGGAGCGGAGCGGATCAGAAACTCTTGACTTGGGAAGATGAGTATTTAGAAGATATTTAATGAATTTATCTTACGGAAAAAGTTTTCTAGGTTATGTTACATATTACTATCACCATTGATGAATTTCAAATACGTACGAAAGACATGAGCCTACAATTTTTAAATAACACAATTTATACAAATATTTGCACATACAGCACGAACATGAACAACTTTTAAATTCATACGATCCGGGATCGTTGTCTGATCGTTTGGGGCCGGATATAAATGTTAAAACCAATGACCTTGAAGATGGGTGTTTGCCTTTTATAGAATTCAATAGATCGAATTTATTTATATACTTTACCTAAATTTCCTTATTGTACGACATTGCTTTGGACGATGTAGAAAGATAAATATATAATAAAGACCTTTGTTTGTTAGTATTTTAAAATGAATATTTAATCTCTAAACATCACGAGTTAATGAAATGCGGAAATAAGTTTAATATATGGCACGTCTGAAGAAAAAAAATGCCGTGTGAATTCAAATTCAAGTACTATAGGTCCACTTAAAAAAATATAAGTTATCTAGACCGGACATTGCTTGATCCCTGAAACCAAATAAAACCGTGCACGTTAGCACAGTTAAAACATGGACTTTGACCAAGAATATTAATAGTTAACAAAGTAAATGATACACCTCTATAGTAGATCATAGAGGTCTAATTTTGTTTGACTGATGATAGTTCATGTGATGTAGGTTAACCTAACAGATACAAGTCCAAAATGCGGTCGACATCTTTGATCGATCAGACGATACAGAGTTCAAAATGTGTAAATAATCTGTCATCCTTATACAGTTTTGACTTATGGCTATACAGTCATGTATTTTAAAGCTTTTAAACATGTCCTCTTTGAAAATGAAAGTACACAAGTTGTCTTGGTTAAATCCTGCACTGCCCGAAATTCTCTCTCTCCTTCCTTACTATCTTTGTGGTAAAGCATTTTGTTTACCTTTAGCTGGATGTGTCTTGATTTGCCCGAGGATTAATTTCATTTTATTTATAACTAACAATAGTGTAGATAAAGACTTATATGTAACAATTGTTTCACCTGCTAAATCAATTTTATTTCGGTCAGATTTTTAAAAGATATGCTTGAGTAGACAGGTAAAAATAACAGGTGCGACCTACCACGGATCAATTAAATGGGCAAAGTCAAACGATACCCTTAAGTTTAAAACAAAATTATATTATTTTTATATTCGCAGTATAAAAAACTAATACTTTTTTGAATTCTTATTCTTACATGTCAAAACACATAATAAATTTGAAACGGAACGTAGGATCCGATATTGAACGAATAAACCACATAGGCTTGTTCAGTTGTTCATGAATCTCTATGTACTTGACACCAACTCAGGGAAATCGCCATTTTATACTTACCCACAAATGGAAGGACAACCTCCACAACCGTTCTAGCAACGTTACCCATGATAAAAGTCTACCCGCGTTCCACCGAAATCCATGAAAGAAATCACTCCATGTCACCACCCGGTTAGCCGATTACTGTTTTGATTTAGAGTGACCTCCCTTTATTCATCGTAAAACCGAAAAGAACAAAACAAGACAGACATCCGAAACTTTGGTTAAAATGGGGAAAAACGACGTACAAAGTGTTCTTCCGTGTACCTGATAGGACCGTATCTCATGCAAATTTCATATGTAGTCAAGGGGGTAATATGTATACATGTATGGAAGCACTAAAGCGATAACTTATGGAAATGCGTTAGCGAAACTATTAATTTTCATATATCAAAGCAGAATAGATTCTATATTTTTAACGTACAAATAATAATTGGTGTAGGATTTAAGATAGAAACAAATAGAGACAAAGTTATAAATTTAGTCATTTAATTCTTTGACATATTCTTTCAGAATTGTGCAATTTTTTAAAAAAGTGGAGACCTTCGGATTTGTCTCTCACCATATATTAGGTTATGATTGGGTTCTGGATTGCTGCATTTCGCCAAATTCTTAGTTCAACAACTCAAACTCTATTTGCCAAGAAAAAAAAATCTTAGGCCGCCTTTCTTGTAGCCATCTGCACGGAACATGTTCGATCTAACTTTCTTGCCACCAAAATGGCAGACTAATTAGACGAATTTTGTGAAGCATCTCAGTACATCTTGATTTCCTCTCTACAGTCTTGTTTAGGATTTTTACCTGTCTAATTTATAGCCCATTATGCTAATATTTTACTTATCTGAAGCGTTTTCTTAAGCTCATCATACATTTCGATCTGTAGAAAATGTATTAAGTAACGTTATAATATATTCTCGTTAATACATGTATGATATAATATCTCGTTTTCTTTCGGTTCATTTACAAGTAATAAAAACTCATCAGGTTTGTCAATGTGTTGTTAAATGGTTTAATTTTTGTCGCGAAAGCGAGGGACATTAAATCTCATTCGTCTGTCCGTCCATCACAAAAAACTTTAACCTTGGTCATATCTTTTGAATGAAAAGAGATAGGCCTTTCATATTACACATGTTTATTACCTGTGGCAAGAACTCTCTATACACACTATGATTTTTGAACCCTTGACCTTGAAGTTTGACATACTTTCAAAAAAATTCAACATTATTTTGAATCAGCCATAACTTGAATGAGAAGAAATAGGGCTTTCATATTACAGATGAACTTTAACTGTGACCGGACCTTTCTAAATACAATGTACACTATGATTTTTGACCTCGTGTCCTTGACCGTGAAGTTTGACCTACTTTTCAAAAACTTTAACCTTGTTAATATTTTTTGAATGAGAATAGATAGGTCTTTCATATTAAAGCTGTGTAATGCCTGTGACAAGACCTTTCTAAATACACTATGATTTTTGACCCCGTGACCTTGATCTTGAAGTTTGACATACATATAAAAAATTAAATATTACTTTGAATTGGCAATAGCTATAATTGAATGAGAAGAGATAGGGCTTTCATATTAAACATGTGCATTATCTGTGAAGAGACCTTTCTATATACACTATGAATTTTACATTGTGACCTTGGCCTTGAAATTTGTCCTACTTTTCAAAAAACTTTAACCTTGGTCATAACTTTTGAATGGAAAGAGATAGGGCTTTCATAATAAACCTGTGTATTGCCTGTGACAAGACCTTTCTAAATACACTATGATTTTGTACCCCGTGACCTTGATGTTTGACCTACTTTTCAAAAATGTTAATTTTTTTCTTATAACTTTAGATTGAGAAGAGATAGGGCTTTCATTTTGACAAAACTGTATTACCTGTGTGACATGATGTTTTCGAGCATGCTGTTTTCTGACCCCTTGACCTTCACGATTGACCTGATTTCGTAAAAAATCAACTCCGGTGATATACTTCTATGACATGTGATTTCACATTTGACCAATATACCTAAAAAATTTGACATCTCTCCCACAAAGACACTGAAAGCCGGGAATCACAATTCTTTGAATTTGCTTGTTAAATTTTTAATAACGGTTGATCAAGTAAATAGAAACCTTAACTACAAACATATCAATTTTTTATGCCCCCGTAATTGAAAATTGGGAGGTATAAAGTTGCCCTGTCCGTCCGTCTGTCTGTGTCCGCAAAAACATTAACCTTGTCTGTAATATCTTTAATTTTGAACGGGTGAGGTATATTCCTTGTGACAAGACCTTTCTTTTTGCACCACCTTGGACCTTGGAGTTTGAACCAACTTTACCATTTCTCCCCCGAATTTTAACCATAGCCATAACTCTTGAATAGTTGGTGCTAGCGCTAGAGCTTTTATACTTCACATGTGTATTCACTGTGAAAAGACCTTTCATTTGGTATAAAAATATTAGAATTTGCTCATTTAAAAAAATTAACTTTTGAACCTTTAGTACTTCCTTTGGATACCAACAATTTTGAAATGACCTTAGAGTTTGACACACTTAGAAAACTTCGAGCATGCTGTTTTCTGACCCTTCACGATTGACCTGATTTAATAAAAAATCAACTCCGGTGATAACTTCTGATTGACATGTGATAGAGCGTTCACATTTGACGCAATATACCTAAAAAAAATGACATCTCTCCCACAAAGACACTGAAAGCCGGGAATCACAATTCTTTGAATTTGCTTGTTAAATTTTTAATAACGGTTGATCAAGTAAATAGAAACCTTAACTACAAACATATCAATTTTTTATGCCCCCGTAATTGAAAATTGGGAGGTATAAAGTTGCCCTGTCCGTCCGTCTGTCTGTGTCCGCAAAAACATTAACCTTGTCTGTAATAGCTTTAATTTTGAACGGGTGAGGTGTATTAATTCCTTGTGACAAGACCTTTCTTTTAGCACCACCTTGGACCTTGGAGTTTGAACCACCTTTACCATTTTTCCCCCCGAATTTTAACCATAGCCATAACTCTTGAATAGTTGGTGCTAGCGCTAGGGCTTTTATACTTCACATGTGTATTCACTGTGAAAAGACCTTTCATTTGGTATAAAAATATTAGAATTTGCTCATTTAAAAAAATTAACTTTTGAACCTTTATTACTTCCTTTGGATACCAAACATTTTGACCTTGACCTTAGAGTTTGACACACTTAGAAAACTTGAAACTTGTACATAACCTTTGAATCGTTAGTACTAGGGCTTTCATATTTAACAGGTGTATTCCTTGTGAAAAGATTGAAGACCTTCCTTTTGAGTACCAACAATTTTGACCATTTTACCTTAGAGTATATATAACGTGCTTTCGAGAAATTTCAACTCCCGCTTTGTTTGTGTTTGGAAAACCTTTTATTTCATATCAAAAGTAAACAAAAATCGTTACACTATTTGCAAGTTCACAATACAAGATAAATTTCTTTACGTTGTAAATTTGTGTTCATTGTAGACCACTGCATTGTCATCTAAAAACAGCTGGAATATACACCATAATAGTCCTTATATGGTCGTCATTTCTGTAGACGAACATACTACATGTACATGTACATTGTATATACTATAGTAAAACGGGTTAAAAGTTATGGGTAAACCATGCAATAATCGTTATAAGTAAATATCTGGTTAATTTTTCCAAACATGTATTTTTGAGTATTCAAACATGTATTTTTTTAATTTTTGGAAGATTTTTGAAGTACTAGTACATGTATTTATGTAATTAAGGAGGCTGGGGGTCAACAAATTAACCACAAATTAACCACCAGATTTAACTTATTTTTTAAGATACGGTATCTTAAGCTGTCAAATATCATTTGGCACAAAAAAAAAAATTAATACATTTTACTTTCAAAATTTGATCATTTTTGTATATTGTTATATAGAGCTCTTCTTTTAAAGGAGATAGAAATAGTCTGAAAATGGCTGCCACCCCCAGCCTCTTTAAATTAAATCTTTGCAACCCTACACTAGGCTTTGGTCATGACTTGTTTAACAATTATTGATCAGAAATGCACTGTGACTCAGGTTAATTCCCGTTCCTTCCCTAAGTGCCTGACATAAGAAGTGAAAGTTACAGGTCTTTTACCTGAGACTTTGAAGACTGAGGTCCAATAGCACAGCAGCCATTGTCATTAGATGAAGAATTCTTACTGCTTAATTCAAGGTCCTGGGTGTAGTCAAATTCTGAATTTGCAGCTCTTCATGGGTTTATAACGAGTTCTCTATATGATTAAGTGAAACATTCTCAAATGGGACCTAGAACAACAAATAAATATACCGGTAAACAAAACCATTTTCTGATGGTCCAGCTAGCGCTTCACTGATTCAGAAAATAGAAATAATGGGAACTATATCCTCTGTTTCAAAACAAAATAAAGTTTGATGGTAAAATAATCAACATATCCTCAAGTATCAGAAAATTCTCTATTTTGAGAGTGTTCTAGATGCGCCTCCTCCTCACTGAAAACCTCTAAAGCTCTATGGTACAGATAGAAACAGCCCTGCTGTCTCTTACAGAATGGAATATTACACAGCTCACACTTATGTCTGGTGTACTTCCTCCATCCAGATTTTGTTTTCACTTTAGTCAGTGAGCAATAATAACACGGTCGTAGTTTTCGTTCATCAGTGGACACTAGTCTATGGGCGGGATCAACCGTCCAATCAGAAGACGGGATTTCCAGAGTTCCACTTAACAGATACTGAGTAAATCCCTCGTCCTCCTGCAGGCGGGGATTAATTCTTGAGTTGCCTCCCTTCCTACTTTGGTTTCTCATTACAAGTTCCATGTAGTTAGACAGCTCATCTACAAAGGAGAAAATACATATAAAAAGTTCATGTATAAACACTGCAATTTGAACATGCGGCATGTGGGTTTTTGTTACTCCCATCTTTTTTACTGTTCTCCCATCACATATACCCTCTTTCAAAAAAAAAATTTCAAAATATTTCAAGCAAAATTCATTCACAGTTATCAACTGATGACAGCTTTGATTCATTTGCAACAATATATTTAATACTTTCTTTGTAATGTTGACCTAATACCATTATTCCCAATTTTTTGTTCAACTTAAGGGGCCGATTGGGGTTTTATTGTGTGAAAACTACAATAAGATAAATAAAATGTTGTATGCCATATATAACTTACATTGACTTCAGTGTACATGTGAAGTTTGGGGAAAATCTACCACCCAGGTCATAAGCGTCGGAACCGGGGGGGGGGGGAATTTAAAAATTTAAAAAACATTTCCTATATATTCCTATGTAAAACCCCCCCCCACTTTTTTTGCAAAATATAGATAATATAGGGATTTTTTTTGGGGCGTAGGTTTAAAGATTTTTCCTCCCCCCCCCCCCCACTTTAAACAGGCACGTTGCAGTTTAGGTCAAAAAGGGGTAAGTGGAAGTGTATAGAAAAAAATTTGGTATTGAAAGAAGTTTGATCCTCGATCCTAACCCCCCCCCCCTCACTTCCTATTTCATATCATGTTAATTAGCATTGGTATTTAAGGTTCAATTCAAGAAAATCGTATTTCTTAAAACTATGTATTTTTTTCCCTTTTTTAGGGTAAAATTTTCAACTTTTTATAAGACCTTTACTAAGATTTCCAAAAACCTTGAATCATATAAAGATGAATAAAATGAAAATTGTTGCATGAAAAAAGTTAATTTTCAAGCTTCATAATGATGCATTTTGAATTAAATATTAATTTTTTGGAGTTACCCTTCCTCGCTGAGGATCGGATATCCTTAAAAAGTCGTTTTTAAAATTCAGTTATTTAAAATTGTAATAAAATTTTTCAACTTGTAAATTCTTAATTTTGTTTAGTTTTAATCAATAAAGTGAAAAACAGTAGATAACGCTTCATTTTACTATGATGCACGAAACATTGCGCAATGGAAACCCCAGTCGGTCCCCTTAATTTCAAAGTAACAATTCCACACGATTAATGGGTATAATATAATAATATATAATAATATAATACTGTGGAATCATTAAAAATTGTAAAGACCAACTCATGTATTGATTATAATCGACAAAAGGAACAAGGACTCTGAAACCATAATTAATCAATTTGTGGAGGAGGTAACTTCAAGGAAGAGAGGTATTCAGTCTATAAATATTAAGCTGACATAAAATTTATCTAAGGAATTTTTATTTGTTGCAACGAATGAACTTTTTTTTTGTTTTTTGTTTTTTGGTTAACCTTGACCTTCCCTATGAGCAAGACCTCGCTATAACTTGCATTAAACAGTTTTGATTCCATTCAATTTTTCATCAAACCTTGACCCCCTCTAATACTTATTTTACGTTTTTTATACCCCCGCTTGAAAAGCGGGAGGGTATACAGTAATCGGTATGTCCATCCGTCTGTTATGCTTTGGGGTACCCATATCTTATCCGCAACTCCTCTCATACCACTGAAAGAAATTTAATGAAACTATCACAGAATCTTTATTACATATTGCCATTGGGCACCTCCTATTTTACTTCTTCATCTGACGTATAATTTGGATTTTCCAGATCAAAACATGGACACTGCCATTATATTCATATGGGAGGCAGAGGGTATCATTTAATGAGCTCATTGCTCACAGTACCTCAAGTTTTTTTTTTTTTAAATTTTTTAAAGAAACTGTTTGAATTGCCTCAAACATGTACAGAGGTAAAAATTGACAGGAGCTACATGTATTAATAAAACTGCAAAAATTTTTAACCTTGACATTTTCTATGGCTTTGGCCTCTTCCTAACTTCTTTTGCCTTCACATAATTTAGAAGGAAATGTTTCAAAATTTTTCCTAAGAAAATACTGATGCATTTTGGTGGGAATTTTTCAACATGTCATAATTTTCTGGTCCTAAAATTTGAACCCAACAATTTGTATTTTTTTTCTAAAGAATCTGTTCATGATTTTCACACAAACTTCTTACAAAGGTGAAAATCATTACCTTGACCTTCCAATATGACATTAACCTTTTTACTTTAGCATTTAGAATAGTTTGAAAGAAAATGATCATATCAATATTCTTTAAACTTCATATTATTGAAATTGGTGACCGGTATTCAACTGTGTCTTAATTTTGTGACTTCACTTTTCAAATTACCCTCTCTCCCAAGTTTGTCCTTCCCTTGTCCTGAACTTCACTTTTTAAGATTTTTATTGAATTCCATACACCACTGGTCAAAATAAATCACATCAATTAAATCTTGACCTTTCTGATAACCTTTGCCTCCTCTTTCCTTCACTGTGTTTTTGTCTGTTTATCCACACTAATGAATACATTTATGTGTATATGGGCAACCCAAAATGTCTCTATAAAAAGTTCTCTGAATTGCCTTGAATATATATGACCTTTTCCAAAGAAAGGATGCCAATCTGTATAGAGTGTTTTCCTTTGAGATGATTTAACCAAGAATTATTCCCCTTGGCCGCCATATTGTAGGTCAACATTTCCAGATCAATTCATTATTCAACTAAGTTCAATTTATTATAGACCATTTTCCTATGAAATATTTTGCCTAGGAGTTATTCATCTTAGCCGCCATATATTGTAGGGCAACATATAACAGCTCCCCTCATTATTCAACCAAGTTCAATTTGTAATACTGGTTCCTGAGGTAAAGATAACACTATTTTTCTTATGAATATATGTTTGTTAAAGCCTCTATTAATTCATAATTTTAAGATTGTAAATATTTTCCCCCATATATTTCTTGCATGCATCTTTAAAATTGGTTGCTCAAAAAGGAAAATTTGCTACTTTGCCCTACAAGATGGCGCCTAAAGGGAATAACTCAGAGGCAAAATATGTTATAGGAAAAGGGTCTATTCTCAGAGATAAAGCTTTTGTTCTTCAAAGGGTTCAACAGATGAACAGTCAGGAAATTAGATAGAGTTGAAAATGATTATTTTTATATAATTTTTTTTAATGTATATACAACAGTTGAACTGCCTTTGTAAATACCATATAAAGTTTTTAAAATAGAAAATTGCTTATTTTCTGCCCAAAAAATATAATGGTGCAAAATCACTACTAGGTTTAAAAAAGTTTACCCATTCCAAGACAGGTTGCAAAAATTTTAAATACTATCAACATTTTAGTTCCTCACAATAAAAAATTTACACGTATATACACTTACTAATGAATTTACCTTTTGAATATAATTTTATTATCCGAAACCTAGGAATCCCTCTTTTAGTTTATCATGATATTGTACAAAGCAGTTACGTTTAATGTTACAGAGCGGCACGTCACAGACACTACATCTATAGTAACATTTGATGTGCCACCCACAGGCCGTTTTGTTTCCCGTCAGTTTACAATAGACACACGTTAGAGCTTTATGTCCGGGGTTGCTCACAAGTCTGTGTATCTGTCCCTCCTCATCTCTCATGCACATGTCCTTTGTATCAATGTTACAGACATCAGTTGGGACTGTTTCAATATTTGGCTGGTTTTCTGATACACTCATTATTCCTGGAGAGTTTTCCGTATTCAATGTATCAGTAAAATGAGATTCTACAATATTGTGCTCAGTGAATGACTGAGATATTGGAGAACTCTTTTCTTTCTTTAGCTGTCCTGGTCTCTGAGTCTTCCTGAACCCTGAAAGGATAAAGGAAGACCCAGTTACACAGTAAAAGGCTTCCTATCAATTAAAAACATAATTTTACAGGTATGCACATAATTATTTATTTAAAAATTCACTTTATTCAAGTTTCAGTGCCCCCTGTTTACATTAGCATAAAACACATTCCTTTTACTCTAATTAAATCTCAATATTTTATTTGTTTAATTTTTCACTTAAATTGACATATACTGACAATTGTTGCAAATTTAGATCTGTAATCAGCACTTATTGTCTTTGAATAGAGGGATTTTTTTTTTTCAAATCAGCATCCATTGCAACTCAGACAACTTGGTTTATATGGTCTCATCTGAAGGACCTGTTTCCACATCCTGCACTGGGATTTGAACTCACAACAAATCTTATTGCAGGATGGGAAGACTGGTCTTTCAGAGATCACATAAACGAAGGTCCTATGTCACAGTAGGTTCACAACACTTAAGCTAGAGGTCATTTTCCATTCCCTCACCTTAGAAAACACAAAAGGTTTATAATCCCCTCTACTCCCCACAGGCACTCGGTGAATCATAAACCTATGCCCTTCAAAGATGTCTCACAAACCCCATAATTGGGAAATTAACACTACATTTGAAAGGTTGACATGAAAAAAATGTAATTAACTAACTGAAGCATTAGCTGATAATTACATGTATGTTCCCTTTGTCAAATTTATATTTTGAGTTCTCCATTCCAGATTTACTGATCTAAATCATCAGAACCCACAGGATTTTTCACTGTTACTGATGTGACCAGTCAAAAAGGGATGCTAATTCTTCTAGGCACCTGATTCCACCTCTGTAAATTTCCAGGGTCTGTCTAATTGCTCTGTTCACAGAATTGTATAGTTTGTCAATTTCATAAGATTGATCACTGTTTGATATCTCCATCTTTTTAACAATTGGTTTAAACATCATATTTTTTTCTTCTTTAGATTAACAATAGGATAAATTTGGAGAAGTAATACAAGAATCACTTCAAATTTATAACCAGTAATAATGTATTTAGCATAAGAAAGCTTTATTGAAAACTGTATATTCAATTCACACTTTAAACATTATATAGAAAATCACTTTACAAATCATGCAGAATAATTCACAATGTCTCAGTTCACATGCACTATTAGTAGAGTGCCTTACATACATTTGGCACTGTTAGTGATTATATCTATCTTACATTGTCATTTGTGTAAAAAAAAAAAAATGGCACACCTAATATTTAGAACACAGAGACATAGTACATGAAATATATTTACTTTTAACAAGTATCATGCCTTTCAAATGCACCACATATCATATATTTTTTATCACTGCTTGTTTCAATCATGACTTTTATTCCTTTGAAATTTTTAAAATACATTTCACCAAAATAATTTTCACATGTTAATTTGAGATTCAAAATATCCATCACACAATTGTGAAAGCTTATGACAAATATTTAATTCTTATTTCTTCATAATCAATAAATAAAACAAGAGGCCCACGGGCCTTATAGGTCACCTGAGCATTATGCAACAACTTTCCAGTTACAGTGTATTGAATTTGATTCCTGTTTTAAGCCAGATGCTATATGGCATTCACAATTTTGAAAGAGGCACCACTGATCATAATAACAATACACTTTACAGTTGCTTAGCTTGGTAACTGAATACCCATACGCAGGGTAGGGGAACAAAAAGGCACTCCAAGTAATCAGTAATATTCAGCAATAATTAGTAGTGCCCCTTACACGGTGACATATTAACCCCTGACCCTAGGTCCAAACATTGCACAAATTTTTAAAAGGCACCCTTAAAATTGCCTATCAAAAAAATAAATAAATGTTTTATAAATACAAACGAGCAGATTTCAAACAATAAATTCATTTTCAGTATATAAGCAGAGCCCCCCCACCCCCACCCAACCCCTGACCCTGGGGGCTTAAAATACATAATTCTGCAAGATTAGGGTCCTTGCTCATCATAACTATATAGGTAGTTCATCTACTTCATACCCAGAGACAGAGAAGAAAATTGAATGAATTTTCACTATATAATCAATAGAACCCCGGCCTAACACCAGAACCCTTGACCCTGGGACCATAAAATTCACAATTTTTGTTGAGGCACTCTTGCTCATCATTACTATGCACTTAGTAAGTTTATTTAATACCTAGGAGCAGAGAAGAAGATTTTCAAAGAATTCATGTATTTTCACTATATAATCAATAGAGCCCCCCCCCCCCCCAACACCAGAACCCTTGACCCTGGGACCATAAAATTCACAATTTTGGTAGAGGCACTCTTTCTCATTATAACTATGCACTCAGTTTATTTAATACCTAGGAGCAGAGAAGAAGATTTTCAAAGAATTCATGTATTTTCACTATATAATCAATAGAGCCTCTCCCCCGAACACCAGAACCCTTGACTCTGGGGCCATAAAATTCACAATTTTGATAGAGGCACTCTTGCTTATCTTAACTATGCATTTAGTTAGTTTATTTGATACCAAGGAGCACAGAAGAAGATTTTCAAAGAATTCATGTATTTTCACTATATAATCAAAAGAGCCCCCCCCCTCCCCCCAACACCAGAACCCTTGACCCTGGGGCCATAAAATTCACAATTTTGGTAGAAGCACTCTTGCTTATCATAACTATGCACTTAGTTAGTTTTTTAATACCTAGGAGCAGAGAAGAAGATTTTCAAAGAATTCATGTATTTTCACTATATAATCAATAGAGCCCCCCCAACACTAGAACCCTTGACCCTGGGGCCATAAAATTCACAATTTTGGTAGAGGCACTCTTTCTCATTATAACTATGCACTTAGTTAGTTTATTTAATACTTAGGAGCAGAGAAGAAGATTTTCAAAGAATCCATGTATTTTCACTATAAAATCAATAGAGCCTCTCCCCCCAACACCAGAACCCTTGACCCTGGGGCCATAAAATTCACAATTTTGGTAGAGGCACTCTTGCTCATCATAACTATGCACTTAGTTAGTTTATTTAATACCTAGGAGCAGAGAAGAAGATTTTCAAAGAATTCATGTATTTTCACTATATAATCAATAGAGCCCCCCCCCCCCCCCCCCAACACCAGAACCCTTGACCCTGGGGCCATAAAATTCACAATTTTGGTAGAGGCACTCTTGCTCATCATAACTATGTACTTAGTTGGTTTATCTTATACCCAGGAGCACAGAAGAAGATTTTCAAAGAAATAATGCATTTTCACAGTATACTTACTTAGCCCCGCCCTAGCACTAGAACCCCTGATCCCAGGGCCATGAATTTCACAATTTTGGTAGAGGACTCAATGCTGATTACAATCATGCAAATAGTTTGACTGCTTGATGTCCAGGAGTAAAGAAGAAGATTTTTAAAGATTGCATTATTTTTAGTGGTTTTGGCCCCACCCCTCAGGCCCCAGGGGGGCAGGGATCATGAAATTCACAATTTTTGTTCCCCTTCACCCATAGATGCTTTGTGCCAAATTTGGCTGAAATTGGTTCAGTGGTTGCAGAGAAGAAGCTGAAAATGTTCAAATGTTAACACACGACGCACGACGGACGACGGACGACGACGGACGAAAACGGATAGCAATAGGTCACCAGAGTTTACTCAGGTGACCTAATAAATGCAATCACAAATATAAAGAAAATTAAAAAAAATAAACACACACTTTTTGTAAACAATTCTTGATTCGGTTGTATGAACACCTTTTAGGAATATACTGAAGAAACTTGTCAAGTTTTTTAAATATTTCATTTAATAACAAATGTTTAATTGAAGAACCTTACACTGTCAGTTGTTGATATTTTTTTAGTACAATAAAATGGTCCTATTCATGGCACTTTTATGGGATATAAATTATGACTAGGATGATATTAAAAAGAAGAACTATTAAGTGGCACACTTCTAAAGTAATGGATTTACAATGGATCAAATAAGGGAAGAGTAATATTTCCACACAAATATACATAGGAACATCAAAAATATATACACCTATATTATATAACAGAACATACATAACCTCAAAATCTTCAAAGCTAAATTACACAAGTCTCTCTCAATCTAAGATTCTTAAACAAATCAAAAATGTATGTGAATTAGCACCATAAAACCTGAGTGCAAAATCTTTCATTGGCACTTCTGTAGTTATAAATTATAGTCTATCTGTGAATTCTCTTGTCTAAAGAACTACATGTACACTGTGACAGAATTATGTGAATAAGTACATCAATAAAGAATGTTAAAATCTCTAACATAAGACTGTAGAGAAACAACTGATCTTAACCTGTATTTATTTTACATATGACTATGACTTGAATACTAGGTAGATGTAACACTTTATAAAACATTCACATTAATTAACAGAACTAAAAGAATTTCTCTAAAAATTAAAGATTTAATAATCTAAAAATTTACAAATATTCAAAAAATAATGCAGTATCAAAGTTTAATTCATGAGTATATTTATTAGGAGTAAAGTGAAATCAATTTAAATACAAAGGGATAAGAGTTATCTCTCTTTATAATTATAAAGATATATTTTCCTTGAAATAGTTCCAACACAGGAATCTAACCTTTCTCTAGAGATATTGAAAGAAATAAACAGTTCATCTTTCAGCAAAGCTTTGCTGTTGAAATCTTTTCAATTTTGTGCTCATGAAACAACAGGTGAACAGATCTGTTGAGAGCTGATGAAAAGACGTTTGTACCTCAATCAATGTTCTATCTCTACTGCTACTGTATAACAATGTGACCTCTTTCTTTTCTCGCTCCCACTGCTGACACGGCCCCATTCTTTGCCTTGTCCAGTGATACTCTCTCTTTGGTGCTGTAATCCTCCTCCATATTTGATTCATCCGAATCATCGCTCCCAAGTGCATCATTTATTTCCTCGTTGAGAACGATTTTCATTGGCTTTGTTTTCACGGACTTTCTTGACTTCCTGGTGATTCCTGTTTTCGGTGTCTGCTTCTCTTCCTTTTTGTTGCCCTGTGGTAGTGTGTCCAGTTTCTCTGGTGTTCCACTGTTGCTGTGCTCCGGGGAGTCAATATCCAGGGGAGGGACATTGGACGTGTTGTATAGGTAGGGAGTGAGGAGAGGAGGGGCGGGGTTTTGCTCAGAAAAGTCTGAGGGGGATAGGTGAGCCCTAATGATGTCTGCTGTTGTGACCGACTCTTCAATGGATATATTTGGAGAGGGGGAAGACGTATTGGAAGACTTCATCTGTGAAGGTGTCACATTATGAAGCAGAAGAGGCTTGTTCTTGGTTTTCAATCTCTTATGAAGCTCCTTGGGTGGAACATTTGGTTGCTCTAACCTCAGCTCATGGTATCTAAGAAAGCACTCCTTGTCAGATTTGCATAGTGGTATATCACAAGCAAGGCACTTGAAATATGACTTGATCTGCCACCCCGATTTTGTTTTCAAGCGCTGAATGTCACAGTATGCACATGCTTTCTTACTACCTTCAATCCTAATCAGCCTATGTCCTGGTAGCACTTCATCATAAAATTTCAGATCTGTGCCATCAAATTTCATTTCATTGCGGTCAAATTTGACCTCACCTTGCTCCTCACTCACAGCATAGGGACCTCTAGTTTCTACACTGTGCCAGGAACCCTTCTCCGCACTGTTCTCATTCTCACCTGGAAAACAAGACAGACTCTTTCATTGACACTAAAATATTTATACATCTGTAATTTAAAACATTTCTTATGGAATCTCACAAACAATAGGCATCAGTGAATTACTGAGAAAGCAAGGCAATAAATATTTGACAAAACCCGATATATTTCTTGTTGACGAACTCTTGAAATATGAAGATAAATCTGAATACTGGATCTGGAGATATTTTTTAATTTTATTATCTATGTATATGATATTGAGCTCAGAAAAATTTGTAACTTTGCATTCCTTTATAAAGATATTTCTAAGAACAAGATGAATTGTAAGAATTCTGAAGAGTTATGAAGGATAGAATGAGATACAGGGTATATATTAATATAGACTTGCCTGATTTTGTTCAAGTGATAAAGGGAGAAAATTCAGATCATGCGGAGTTAGTACTCTTTGAGACACACACATCAGAATGCTGCTGGTATATTTTCATGCACTGAAAAATCAGCCTCTCTGTGGCACATGTCCAATCCAATACGCAGTCACATCCAGCTGCCTAATGCACCATTTTTCACACGTATAACTTCAGAAGTGAAGCATTTGTAACTACATGACATGCTTGTACACAATAATACTTTATTTATGCTCAAAAATGTTTCCCACTGCACCAATTCATACACTCATAGAGCACTTTTTCATCCCATAAATTTAAATGTTTCATTTATATTGATTACCAAAAATTTTTATACATTGTGATCTGAATATAGATAACAATTTCATTCATGATACTGACTTTATCATTTAAAATCAGTCAACATTTAAACATGCATAACATAACCTGTTCAAATCATATTTTTAAAACTCAGAGTATAGTCTCATTGAAAAAAATTCAGGTATATGTCATCAAAATTTATTTCCTTCACAAATTCAAGGTCTTAGTGATACTATGCTAATCTAATGTTTGTCTCTCATCATCAGTCAATAAAATCTCCTGTCCAAAACCTTGCTAGATACCTTTTACAAAATTGTAATAACTGAGTATTTTCTACATCTACTAAAAAAGAGTTAACAATATCTAACATTTGATTATTGGGTCATTTAAATCTCTTATAGAACTTTCAAAGAAAAACCTAAGTAATCAATGTATAGTTTTTATTTAATCAGGAAATAAAAAGGTAATTTGGGGGATAAATTTAAAATTAACAAATAAATTTTTAGAATAAATTAATAAGATTTAAATCTCATTGTGAAGATCAATCAATCACTGTCTTTAACAGTTTTAAACTTTGAAACATCCCCTCTTGAAATGAAGAAAAACATACATGCCCATGCTGTTACATGTTTATAAAATATAAATTATGATATAACAATTATTCTTCCAAAAATACATAAACAGGTAAACAAATAAACAAAAGAAATGAATGGGAAGTTTAATAGGTACATATTCAGAGAAAAGAGATCAAGAAGGTCTAAGCCTTCTTCGGGAATAAATATGATATTTGAAACAAAATAGAGGCTTTTTACAGCCTTATTAATTCACTTGTATATCAAGAATCCTTGATTCCCCCAAGAAAGTAGTATCAAATTTCTTAGATCTCTTTGATCATGTGTTGATTTCTAAAACTTCTCCATTAATAAATGTGGGTGAGATGTGAAATCTTTTAAATTCAGAGTCTAAGTTTGTTCCTGTTTTTCACTTTGGACAAAACATTTCCCTGTTCCATTCTCTCTGTATTGATCTCTTTCTCTGCTTTGTTATATAGAGTCATCCCTTACAGAAATAAGCTTTAGAAACTTTAAACTCACCAGCCTGACCCCCGATCCACGAGGCCTCACTCCCGGGGTCGCCCGTAAAGCTGTCATCGGGGGGAGGTTCCTCTATCTCTAGGTCACTAGACACTTCCTCCTGCTGTTCACTGTCCGTGTCCGGGCGACGGACCATAACCATCCCCTGATCCTGGACCTCCACGTATGGTGTGCCGACTCCCGGCTCTTTCTTCACGATGGAGGGATCTGGACTGGTAGTTAGACTCGACCGAGATTCTGACTGACTCTTCATTCTGCAAACAATATACAAATGTTATGTTAATTTGAAAAATATATCAATTGCTTTCCAAGTTAAAACTTTTTCAATTTTATGAAAATTAATACAAATGAAACACTTAATATTGAAGCAATCTGTGAATATGGTGTAATTATTTAAAGTTGATGTTTATTTTTTAAAGATTTTGATGATGCTTAAATAGATGGCTAAAATATCAAAGGAAATGGACATATTCACCAACCCAACGTCCTCTTCAGCATTAGAGGTTGATATGGTGTCTTTCACAAAAGTTGGAAACTGTGCAGGACCAACAGGCACCATGGTGGGGCTACCTATGGCAAAGGACTTTGAAGGTTGTACCATGGTGGCTCCATAACCCCTGACCCCCACTCCTGCTATGAAGATGGGAGAGTCTGACCGGTTGTCCACTGTTTCGGTGGGAAATGGCCCTGAGAGGGGAGGTTTGTTGGGGATCCTTGAGATCAGAGAAGGAGATGAGGTACGGTGTGTGTTTCCCATATTTACCACTTGGACATTTATATCCGGCGGTATCTGACTGGCTATTGAGACAGACATAGCGGATGATGTGTCCACCACTTGTGACGACCCAGGAGAGGCATCCTTATCCACATGGTGGATCTGCACACCGTCTTCCACCACATCCATGCCACCATTAGGCCTTCTGGACACGCTAGCAGGGCCAATTTTAAATGGACGGTTGTGATCTTTGGGACTGTTAAAATTTGAAGGACCTGACAGATCATCAGTTTTGGGGTTAGCACCAAAGGATGGGGAGTCAGAGTTGAGTATTTTCTGTCGTTTCCCGCCCTGACTTGTGATTTTAGAGTCTATTGATCTCTTGTTGGATTTCTCACTAAACTTCAACATATCAGTCTGTCTAACATGCTTGAATTCAACATGATCATAATAGTCATACTTGTACTGAGAGGACGAATTCAGACATTTGTAAAAATCGGAGCAGCATTTAATGACACTGTCCACTTGAAGAATTCGTCCAATTTTTTCAATGTCTTTATAGTTATCTTCAGTCAAAACCATGCATCCCTCATATAAATACTGTAGAAACGTGTTGATGGATTCCTCTTTTATGTCAGAAGCAAGTCTGATTTCCAGATGAGATCCAACTGACGCACTCTCCATGGACTTTAGCATAGGACAGGCTGCCACGAGGACCAAGCGATGGGCCTGTAAAGGTAAAATATAGGTTAATGAATAGAATGTCATTAATTAAAATTATGTTATATTTAGTTATCAATACAGCATGATACAGTGAAAACTGTCCAATCCAACATGAGCAATCCATTTCACTGTGAATTCCAACCTATACTTTCATTCTCATTTAACTATTTTCTTCACACTGTATTTTGAAACTTATGTACTTTTTCCACCTGAGTCACTCAGGTGACTTAAAAATTAATGATACTAATATGTTTATAAAAATTCATCTTTTTTGTGTACACTTAAAATGATTTTCCTTGTATGTTCAAGTTCATTGTAAAGTCACACAAATAATTACTGTTAATGTGAGCATTATGAACATGATGAACCCACTTTCCCATGTCAGAAAAACCTTTCATTGATTTTTTTTTCCTGAAGTATTTTGAATAGAAAAAATTGAATTTAAATAAAATAATGATATAGAGCCAATCGCAAAACCCCTAAAGGATTACATTGTTTGTGACGAGCTGACGCTTTGCTTGTCGAGAACTTTAAATTCTACGTCACATTCTCGCCACATCAAAGGAAGTAGCCGAGATAGCGTCTCTCCCACGCTAAAGTCGGTCAGCTGCAATACACATCACCAACGTTTAACGAGTTTACAAAAGGGGACAGAAAACACAAATCTTATTAAACAGTTTAAAAAGAGCATTATTTATATTATATGCATTTTTTAGAGTCCATAATAAATTAAAGCCTTGAAAATTTAATTTTATAGCATTTACCATTTGTGTATATGGCACGGTATACATGCGATATAAAAGGATGTACATGATCTTGAAATTTTCTTCCATAAGTTTCAACATTCTTGGCACTGTGTTTCTTGAGATGATTTTTAAAACATGTCATCAATTGCAAATTTTCATATTTTCTGAATTATCTCCTCTAAGAAGTCGCCCTTCATTTGAATAGACTTGAATACCGTTTACCAAAAAATGCTTTGTTGCAAGTTTGCTTAAAATTGGCCCAGTGGTTCTAAAGAAGAACTCGAAAATGTGAAAACGGTTAACGGACATCGGGCAAAATGTGATCAGAAAAGGTCACTTTGAGCTTTCAGCACAGGTGAGATAATAAAGACTAATTGATATTAACTTTGTTGTGTTACATACAGCACAGACAAGTAAATTGGCGACAAAAGTGTAAGGGGGAAGGGGTATGCTCTCGTTTAAATCCGATTCGTTTTTTTCCCTTCAAATACGTTAGATCTGACGGGCACATAACATAAGGGCCAGCCCTCGACCCACCCTACTTTTTTTCGTTTCAAACATATTGTTCGAAAGATTCATTGAAAGGCTTTACGTTTAAAGATACTTTACAACCGCTTAAGTAAACATTTTCATGTTATTTTAGTACATGTATATACTAAAAATATCAATTCGTGAAAATTATTGTGCATTTATTTTTAATTTTTTTCGAGAACAGTCTATTTATTTTTCAAAATCTGCCAGGCCCATCTCTAGGAATTAGATTTAGGCTTTTTGACATAGGCGTCGAAAACGGGCGAGCGGAGAGTGGGGGGGGCTTATCCAAAGTTAGACTTAGTATAGACATTGAACATTGCTGCGTAGGTATACCCACGAAATTGGAGTTTTGTGTTTTGAAAATACACATCCCTTGTTTTTGTTTGTGTGCTGGTTTTTTTTTTTTTGCTTCTCAGGTTATTTTGGGAGGTCTAAAAAAATTTCTTATATACCCTTAACCCCCACTTTAATTTGCTTCCGACGCCCATGATAATTAGATATTTTCCGTTGTTTGGTATCAATTACCTTGTACATACAACATTCGTTAAAACTTAAAAATAAATTGAACTTCAATCGTTAAAATTTGAAGGTAAATAGACACGTCTTCCCAGGCCTTCCCTCTTTATCTTTTCTCTCGAATATACGCATAAAGAGGGTATCAATTTTTCACCAGTATATTTTGTACCAAATTGCAACAATCTCAGCATGCATGACTTGGGTTGATACGCGTAACTAATAAATCTAATGATCAATGAATCATGCACTACTCGACTTTTATACTTGTTCGCAAATATGAAAAAAAGTAAATTTTGCGATAATAGAATAAAATAATCGACCAATGAAATATTCGTAATGGACTGAAAAAAATCTTTACATTTTTAAATTCAAGGTTTAAAAAAACTTTTTGTTGAATTCAAGGTTAAAAAAAACTTTAAACTTTGCAGGTAACATTCAAGAAAACGACATCGTGACTGTCTACTCCATTTTTTGAACCCCGAAAACAAGCTGTATGTTGCAGCTGACCGACTTTAGCGTGGGAGAGACGCGATCTCGGTTACGTCCTTTGATGTGGCGAGAATGTGACGTAGTATTTAAAGTTCTCGACAAGCAAAGCGTCAGCTCGTCACAAACAATGTAATCCTTTAGGGGTTTTGCGATTGGCTCTAACTATTGATTTTTTAAAATTATTTAGAAGTTCATTACTCTTGAACTTGTTTTCTATCTTGAGCTACATGTAACTTTCCAAGATATACCCTCAGGATTATTTTTTTTATAAGCTCAAAAGCTTAAGTTATTTCAAACCCCCAGCAACATTTCAATGATTAAAATAATGAAAAGTGCATTTAATTAAAAAAGGTAAAATTAGATTTCCCCTTATATCTTTATATTCACATTTTTAATTTTCTTGTTTCAAATTACAAAATTTCATTCCTGAATTTTATGAATTTTTAACTCAAGAAATTAAAAAATAAAAATACATGTATGTTATTTGTTAATTATCATTGACGAGAATAATATAGACAATATACAAATTTTAGTACATTCAAAATTTCAAATTTATATCATGATAAACATGAATGATAAATCTTAAAACAAAGACTTAAAAAATTCCAGCTGTCATCAAAATAAATCATGTTTTAGATGAAAACAAAGTTTATTTATACATTTAAATGGTCTATAATGACCATCAATCCAAATCAATACTATAAAATTATCTATGAGGCATCACCATAGAAAGTTTTATTAGTTGTGAAAACACATAACATGCATCTCATTTTTTTAGTCAGTATCACAAAAATAGCACACATGTGGCTACCTAAGCAGAGCTACACAGTCCTAACATCTGTTGAGAATTAGCCAGGCCAGTCCTGATAACAAGAGACCAGCCCCTCTAAGACAAAACATGTGTGTACCTTAGCTGTGATGGATCCTGCTTTAATAATGGCATCACACAGGGCTTGGTTCTTCCACATCTGGGCCAACTCACACAGCAGGGAACTACAGTGAATTTGGTTCATGTAAACCTTGTGTTGTGTCATCTTAATTTTTTTGGTATATCTGCTCAATAATATTCTTCAAGCTTCAATTCTAAGAAACCTGTTTCAAAAGAAAGATACATTGTAATTACATTTATGCACGTACAATGTACATGATGTACCTAGTAAATGATTCTCTATATTAAAATTTACATCTAATAGTAAATCTTTAAAAAATAGTCAGTGTCTACAAACCATTTTTATTTTTTGATATATGGAATTAACCCTTAATTTCACGTATACTCTTACAGAACCTATCCTGCAGATGCCAAGTTTAATTGTTAGCAAAAAACTTGGACTTATTAATACACACATTCACACATCATACAATTTTGAAATTTATAGGCCCTATATATCTTGCTGAAATATCTGTGAATATAATTTTACAATTTCAAAATCATCATTCATGTGTAAATGTGAATGGATAAACTGTAAAACAGCAGAAAATTCAAGATCTCCATGAACCGTTCTCCACACAGACTTTTTGTCTGAATCATAAAGAGGTAAGAACTAAGATTTACAAACACTTTCAAAGTTATCAAAGGCACAATTTGGCTGTTCAAAATTATTTTAGATACTTTCTTAATCATGTTAATTTCTCCATTGAAATAATATTTTTTAAAAAAAATTGGTTCAACTACCAATAAACATACTTACATTGCAGTAAGATCCGCCACTCAGTTTTCTGATAAACATTGGCTCACCACACACTGTCTGCAGTCAAGCCTCAGAGTAAAATTAGGTCCTTCTAAATGATTAACTGTTAAATGATGTTTTATTCCTTAATTACACTGTAATAATGTAATAAAAGTAGCAGAGTATCTTTCAAACTTCACATTCCACGTTGTGATAAGACCCCAGCCCTGATATTCGACACCACTGTAATTTATGCGGACTGGACCGCGCGGACCAAAAAAGGAAAACAAAGAAGCCGACCTCGGGATGCCTTCAGTCTCTGGCAATTTCCGTGCCTGCGCAGTCAACAGTTGTAGTCCTTGGCGTTTTGAGAGACTGAATACCAATGAAAAGTTTATGTTGAAATGTAACACACTATTATTTTCACTTGTATCTCAAAACAAATACACGCAATCACACAATCCGAATATTTTCTTTCCCCACTGACTCCAGCCTCTTTATTCAACATCCGGTATGGATAAATGTGAAAACCGTATTCGCTAATCCGAAATAGTTGACAGCTGTAAGACTGTGGAGGAACCCCAGGGGTGTCATAGCATGTGTACCTTTGTGCGTTTGGGTAAGGATGGTGATACTTGACATCTTGATATGAATTAAGTACCAAGTTGATCATCACAACCCTCCAACATGACTTCTTGGCGCTTTTTAAATTGCCTAATCATTTCAAACATTGTCAAGTCATGATTTATTTGCAAATAAGATGTTTCTGAGTTTCAAAATGTGCGTTTATTAATAAATTGAAACTTGCAATAGTACTACTATCAGTGTATAATAAAACATATGAATAAAAATCAGTAAGCGGTTTTAGAATTTCAAACAAAAATGTATATACCAAAATATTTTTCCATTATCCAATTTACAAGGTTGTAATATGATGTTGCATTGACAACTGATTTAAATATATTAGAACATAAAACAAGCGCACCAATGGAGTATGTATATTATATTTATTTTTTGGTAATATAATTTCCTTAGAGAAGTAGACGGGCTTCGCCTACACCTACTCGTAAGCGAAAGCCTGTCCACTTCTCTAAAGAGATTATAACTTCGTGACAATTTCAAAAATAAACTAGAGGTACTGGGAGCAATTAACTCACTAAATGATACCCTGCCTCCCACATGATTATAATGGCAAAGTCCATGTTTTGCTCTGGGAGACCAGAAATAAGTGTCAGATCAAAAAAGTAAAATAGAAGGTGCACAATGGCATAATGTAATAAAGAATATGCGAAGGTATTTAACATTTTATAAAGTGGCATAGGAGGAGTTACGGATAAGAGATGGATACCCTTCAATATAAAAATTATAAAAGAAAGAATGGCCGTGCCCTTGTTCTGTTCTGTGAAACCCAAAATATGTGTCCGATCAAAAATAAAATAGGAGGTACGCAATGGCACAATGTAACAAAGATTCTTTGAAAGTCTCATTAAACGTGGTAAAAGAGGAGTTGCGGATAAGAGATGGGTCCATGTACAGTGACCTCAAAGCTAAACAGACGGACGGACATTATAGAGGAGACAACTGAATGAAAAGTACAAAATAACGAATTCAGTTTATTAAAATATACATTAGAACATTTAGAAGACATTGCATTAGATGGGAAATACAAACAAGTTGACATCCTTCAATATACCTCATTTTATTTTTTTCTATTACTCAGTATGTTAAACAAACACTCTATATTAAAAAATCTGTCTTTCAGCAGACAAAGATATTTGTATGTGATTGTTTGGAAGTATTGGTATGTAAAAAAGAAAACATGTACACTTGAAATGGAACAAATTTAAGTCACAATTTTTACAAAATAACACCATTACTTTTATGGTTAAATCAGCTTTCACCGAAAATCAAATGTCAAGTGTCATATTATATTGATCGAAATACTGACTTCAAACAGGACACTGAAATCACTGTAACATTAATTTATCTGAGAGTAGTTTGTCTTGGTTCACGGCACTGTGAACATACAAGAATTATTTTGAAAAAATATGGTGTCTTTTTAAAAAAAATAATTGTATTTTATTCCCAAACAAAATATAATACAGTCCATATAAACAAAAAGAGTTTGACAGCCATCACAGTCTAGACATTAGACTTCCTCCCCCTTGAGCAGGTTTGATGTATTTGAAATAGGAATCCAAAACCTGTACAAAAAGATTAATGATGTAATAAGTGAAAAGGATTATTACATAAACATATTAATCAAGAATGTATGATGATTTATACAAAGAGAAAGTTGTAAAGGAAAAAAAATTAGTTTGAACTGAGCACTTTTGTAAAAGTACGGTTACCCTAAAAGATGGGAAGTTTCAATGACTACTTTTGGTATTTAATTTATGTCTGGAAAAGTCTCTGATTTTCAACTTTAAGTTAAAATAAAGAAAAGGACGTAACTTACCTCTTTCTCGTTGAGAGGCGAGTTTTTGGCGTATTCGTACAGGGCCTTGTAGACTTGTCCATCATACCGCCCGAGACAACTGTCAAGTACCTGGTCCGGGTAATCGAACGCGTCCACTAAGGCCACTGCATCCGGTCTCATCTCCGCTAACAGCTCAGTCAGCTTATTTTGAAGGTAAGTGACTTGTACAGGGCTAAAGAATCCATCCTTTTTATTTAAAAAAGGAAGATAATTGATACCATTTATTTACATACCATGTACTCTTGGCTATATAGTGTCTGTCAATTAATTTTATGTAAACATTTCGTTAGCATGTGCATGTATAAATATCTATTCAAATGGATTTCTGCTTATATTCTAAGGATAAACGTTTTTTGCTCTGATTCATTTTTATTTATTTGACCATAAAAAGAGACGACTTTCATCATTATGCTTTGAAATAAAAATTCTGGGTTTTTTTTTGGGCTCCTTCTTTATTATTTGTAACTCTTAAATCAATTTTATTTCTTATTTCCTTGAATTATTACAGAAATTTGGTTTGTTTTACCTGAATGAATTCCCCTAGTCTTTCTATGATTCCATGGACTGCATAAAGTTTACAGAGAGTGGTCAATATGCCCTCTATCTCCTTTGTCTTATTCTTGTTTACATTCTCAACAAATGCATTGACGACAAACAGATGAGAGAATGCCTATATCACGAGAAGGAAAATAAATACCATATACAATGAATCAAAATGCCAACTAAGCCTACGTCAATTATGTCTAATTGTGCATATAGTACTAGTATACAGAAATTCAAATTGAATATACTAGTAAAGAAATACTGAGTAGTTTGATGATTACAAAGAAGAGATTTACAGGATGAATCTCTGCCATTCATATTTTATTGACAAATGACTGAATATGTGACTGATTGTTAGAGCTCTGTCTATCATTGACCTCTCCAGACCTTCACTGATCATGTGGTTGACTGAATGGTGCAGGTTTATTCTAGGTGTTAGGTGGGATGACCCAAACCGATGTACGAGTGACTGTACCGTGTCAACCATAAATGTATCATAACGTTTTTTTTTTCACAACGTATGTCGTCACCCACGCATTGCAGTGGTTAGAGCGTCTGCTCTAGAGTCGCGAAGTACGGAGTTGATCCGTACGTCGCAGGCTCGAATCACAATGTGGAACGTGGAGACCTGTCCTTCGGACGAGACCGTATAACCGAGGTCCCGTATCACAGTAGGTGCTGGCACGAAAAAGATCCCCTCTTGCTCAATGGACGTAATTGCCGAGTATAGGAAAAAAATTGTAGCTCTCCACCGGCAAGTGATGGAGTCTCCATCTGAGTGAAAAATTCTCGAGAGGGACGTTAAACAATTATACAATCAATCAATCACAGCGTATGTCAATCTTTGTTATATAAGCTCTCAATTTTTTACTTTTTATGAAAATAAAGTGTACATCTTATGCTTCAATAACTACCGTTGCCGCCCACGTGAGTAGAACAGTGGACGCATTCCAAGCTTCCTGTCTAGACTTTCCGGAACGAACAAGTCTCTCGATATTTCTGGCAGCATTTTCAAGCAATCTGAGAGACAAAAAGTCAAGAAATTTCAATCAAATCTCATTTTTTGATCAAATACAGCAATTCCCATTTGTTTTTCAAAATTGGTTTTCTTTTAGTACTATTTCTTTAAGGGAAATTTCTAACTCAGATCTGAATTAACTTCAGGAATTTATCTTACCATGCAAGAACGCAACTACAATTAATCATACCGACACTGGTCATAACTTACTTTTCCTTTATTTTTTTTTTATCAAAAGCAATTCTTGTGTGTTACCTAGCTGCTCTGTGTTCATAAGCTTTAACAAGACAACCTAACGCCACTTCTTCTGTCATGCAGGATTTTGTAGAAACATCCACGGTATAACAACGTAGAAACTGGCTGACTGGAGCCCCTCTCTTTACATCGGGATACACTTTTATCAGAAACCTGCAAAACAATACACATTAATCAGAAACCTGTAAAGTGATTCGCCTTAAATCACTCCGTAACCTTTTAAGTGATACACCTTTATCAGAAACCTGTAAAGTGTTACACCTTAATCAGAAACCTATAAAGTGATACACCTTAATCAGAAACCTGTAAAGTGATACACCTTAATCAGAAACCTATAAAGAGTTACACTTTAATCAGAAACCTGTAAAGAGTTACACCTTAATCAGAAACCTATAAAGTGATACACCTTAATCAGAAACCTGTAAAGTGATACACCTTAATCAGAAACCTGTAAAGTGATACACCTTAATCAGAAACCTGTAAAGTGATACAACTTAATCAGAAACCTATAAAGTGATACACCTTAATCAGAAACCTGTAAAGTGATACACCTTAATCAGAAACCTGTAAAGAGTTACACCTTAATCAGAAACCTATAAAGAGTTACACCTTAATTAGAAACCTATAAAGTGATACACCTTAATCAGAAACCTGTAAAGTGATATACCATAATCAGAAACCTGTAAAGTGATACACCTTAATCACTCAGAAACCTGTAAAGTGATATACCATAATCAGAAACCTATAAAGTGATACACCTTAATCAGAAACCTATTAAGTGATACACCTTAATCAGAAACCTGTAAAGTGATACACCTTAATCAGAAACCTATTAAGTGATACATCTTAATCAGAAACCTGTAAAGTGATACACCTTAATCAGTAACCTGTAAAGTGATACAACTCAATCAGAAACCTATTAAGTGATACACCTTAATCAGTAACCTGTAAAATGATACAACTTAATCAGAAACCTGTAAAGTGATACACCTAAATCAAAAACCTGTTAAGTGATACACCTTAATCAGAAACCTGTAAAGTGATTCACCTAAAATCACTCAGTAACCTATCAAGTGGTACACCTTAATTAGTAATCTGTAAAGTGGTACACCTTAATCAGTTACCTGTAAAGTAATACACCTTTATCAGTAACCTGTAAAGTGATACACCTTAATCACTCAGTAACCTGTAAAGTGATGCACCTTAATCAGAAACATGTAAAGTGATACAACTCAATCAGAAACATGTAAAGTGATACACCTTCTTGTAATTTCCCAGTGCAAGACGAAAGAAACATTTATTTCGGCATTCAAAATAAACATTGTAAAATGCTACATAAATAAATTTTCTTCAACACACCACCCCAACTATAACCAAATCTCAGCAGATACGATTACCTGGCTAATTGTAGCATCATGACGTTATTTTCACCCTCGTATGTACACCCTGGGGTGGCCATCGTGTAAAGTTTGGGCAGACCGCTGGCGTGGGAGTACCCGTGTCCCCCACAGCACAAGCGGCACGTTTCTATCCCTGATGTACATACCCACGTGCTGAATGCTTTTAGACCACACAGCACTGCATGAAGCTGTAAATAAATTAGTATTAATAATGAAGTTAAAAATATATTTGAAAAACGAAAAAATTACTGGATTAATTCAAAGAAAAGAAATTTATTATAAGCAAGAACCATTCATGCAGGTTCCATAAAAAAATATGAGATATAATGCATTTAAATTAAATGTTTATATGAATAATACATGTACTTAAAGTGACGGATAGCTCATAGAGTTTACAGTTTCCTTCTAGCACATCTTTTTACTCATTAAAATTGAATTTTTAAAGCAAAATTAATTTTAGTATTTAACTATGATAAACTTACTACATTCATTGACTCCAGATTACCAGCGTCGATTTCAGAGGATACTTTTGCATGGTAACCTATGATAAATCTCCCAGTGATCTGCATGGCGTACGCTGTAGCCACCAATGGAAACAACTTGTACTGCTGAGTCTGGTAGTCTATTACCTGTGCCTCTATCCCACTGGAATTAATCAAGCAATGGGTTCCATTATCATGATGCAAAATTATTCATTTTAATTTTCTTCCTTTAATCGTAATATTTTGATCCACGACAGATTCAAAACACAGGTTGAACCTTCCCCATTCAGTCAACTTCAAGGTCACTGAGGTCAGGAAAGGTCATTGAATGACAGAGGTCCGCCATTCAATCACCTTTCAGTAGACTGTCAGTCACTTAATCGAATAGCAGATCTTCATCCTTTAAACTTACTTAATATGTGTTCTTGATAAGTGTATACATATATACTAGTACCCTGGGGAGACTTCGGTTTGACGTCGAACTGCGCTGTATCGCACTGCGATAACGCACGCCGTTGCCAAAGAACTTGAAATCATTCCAACAATTTTGGCGCGAATTAAGACCATGGTGCCATATGCAATTCTCTGGTCCGGGGGTGTTACATAAGTACCATCCTCTAGTACCTGTCAAAAAGTGGTGACAAATTTTGCATTGCATATGTAACATGAAATACCAAAACACATTCGTTTATAGTCATCTTACTTTGAAATGCTTAATTTTATTAGATATTAGTAAATGATTTTAGGAAAGAAAGATAAATTAAATCGCGCCAGTCTTTCCTTATGCTAGTACTTTGTTTGCAATTTCAATTATATTTCTTTTTTCATTTTATATTACACTTTTCGATACATAAAATTAAAAATACAAGTTTTTTGGATTTTGCTGAAGCTGGAAAGAATGGCTATTAATAACTAGTAGGAATTTATTTTTGTTCCATACATATGCAGTTACCTTTGAATACCTCATCAGCATGTTTTCTCGTGGTATTCGGACATTATCTAATCTTAAGAAGCCATTGTCATTACCATTAAAACCAAACTTGGGACCAATATCACCTGCCTCCACGCCTTAAATTATCAATGGGAGAATGTTAAAGTAAAGCAAATCTTCAAAAATAAAAATAATAAAAAAGAAAGACCAAGTAGAATTTAGTATTTATCAGCAGCATGTTATCTGCAGGTGTACAGAAAGAATGATCCATGTCTCCAGGGTTATACCTGGCAGTAACTTGTGGGTGTTCAGATCCCGGAGCTGCACCATAAACAAATGAATCCCGCGTCGTCTCCCTTGAGTCTCCAACTGAGCCATTACCAAACAGACGTTTGAAGTTTTTCCCACTAAAATTCAAGAAGGTATCAAAAGGAAGAAATTTTCTCAGCATTCTACGACAAATTTAACAATGCAGAAACAAAAGCTAGTTATGGTTTCAGTTTCTTACAATTTCCGGGCCAGTACTTTGTTGACGTCACTGTTGGAGAATTCAATATGAACTCTTTTGTTTTAGGATCGTATGTAGCAGTGGTCTCTAGTCCCCGTATAAATGTCCCTGGAAACAACTATCAATAATTTATTCTTGTGTGGTAAATGACTTGCTAATAAATCAAACACTATAAGACTTTGCATAGAAATCGTACATTTTTTGATTAATTACCGTGACCAAGTTCCGTCTGAGCGTATGTTCCAATAATCTTCAAACTTTTTGCCAGCGGAAGCCATTTTGCTTTTTGTTCCTCCGTGCCCTGCTTTTCAATAGCAGGGATAAACATACCATAGTGTACACCAATAGCATTTGCCTGTGACGGAGTAGCAGCTCTACGTGTTACATATAAGCATAAATAAGTATGGGTAGTCTTAGCTTGTTGAGGAAATTCAAACAAAAGTATAAATGCTGTAACAGAATGTTATAATCCTTAATGAATGTTGCATACTTTCAACTTCATCAACATTTTAATAACTTAAATATTTGAAAATAAATAAAGTCATTACCTTTCAAACCAATTCTTTTTATTTATTTAATGGAATCACTCTTTTTTTTTTTGTTTTTTTTTGTTTTTTTTTTTTTTTTTTTTTTTTGAAAATCATCAAATAGATAAACTTACTCTAAGTAGTACATTCTCTCCAATTCATTTTTAAGTCCCATTTCCTCCATTTTCTTCAGAAGGTAAATGTTTTGCCAAAGCGATGTTTCATACTCTTCCTCCCGCGATCGAAATGCCCATGGTTTTGCACGAGAGAGCACTGGATCTTGAATGGCCAGATTATCTTGAAACCAGAAGGAAAGTTTAAATCAAACATATACTGTAGGAGCTCTGTCATATTAAAAAAAAAATACTAGTATATATACTATAGTATTCTTTGCAAGTAAGCACTTCAATATTTCAAAATCATAAACATTGATTGACATTGCCTTAAGGGGGATATGAAACAAATTGCTGAATCGTTTAATTCACTCTCAGGGGGACAAAATTACTTCAGAAAGAAAAAAAAATTCCTTACGTAAATATCGACGTTTTCTGACATTTTCAGCCCCTCCATATATGGTATTTGTTAATTTTTCCACATCAAATGTCGCCCCCTTTCGCTCTTTAGTCAGATCAGGATTGACTGTTGCAGACGACATGGTCGCAGGTTATTTAAAATGGCAGACAATGAGACATAGACTTCATTTATATTTCTACCTAGGTCAATTTGTGTAACGATTATTAAAGTACGTGTAAACACTCAGGTCCTTTTTTGTGAACTCTATCTTGTCGTTATCACTTAATCCAGATTTTGCTGCAAACCAATATTTGTAATCAAGTTTTGGCTCAAGTTATTACAAATTCAAGATCTAGTTATCAGTTAGCGTCTCTTTCTAGTGAAATATCTAAATATGAACCAAATGTGTCTAACTACCTGGTATTTCGAGTTCGAAAGGATATTATATCATATCAAAGTAGAATGAAATGAAAAGAATATACAGTTGAACTTCGGTATCTTGGATATCTTGAATACCATGGGTGTTTCGAAGTAAATTTTAAGTCAAAACTAATTATTCCTTAATAATTATTTTACCCTGGAAACCAAAAAAAAAACCTCATTTTGAAGTTAACCTTCGAGTTCGAGATAGAGAGGTTTGACCGTATTGTTATTAGAGAAAACGTCGTCGGTATAGGGAGGCCGCAACAGAAGACTTCGTCCTTTCATGTAGAAGTTTTTGAATAAAGTTTGCTTTTGAAACATAACATGAAATTTATACAAAAATATATAATAATGGAGAACAATTGATACCCATGGGAATTCCAACAGATTTTCTGTTTAATCCAAAGGACTGCCTTGGGATTCGAACGCGTGATGTTCAACTCCTTATTCCTCGACTCTTAGAGCGAACGCCCTCACGACTTCATCACGCGGGCGACTTCTTTTTATTGTGAATATTACGCTAATATAGTTTGTCAAAACCTAGACCTAGAGCAAATATCAAAACAATGTTAACGTTCACTAAATCTAATAAAAATTACATTGTGACATCTCCTATTTTACTTTTCGATCGGGTAATAATTCAGGGATGCAGACAGGCATTCTTTCTCTCTGAATTCTCATATTCCTAACAAAATTGTTTGTTTGATTCTAAACGTGATGACTTTCACTTTTCAATTGTCATGCAACTTCCCGTACTTACGCAGCAATATACATGTACCATCATCACCTACATACGGGGTTTATATCTCTCAGTTGATTCGATGAGCAAGAACATGCTCTATGTCATTTCGTAAGATCTATGGTCGATACAAGTAACAGCTTTTTAAAAAGCTTGCCTGACTTAATCAATCAATATCTGTAAGAGAAATGATAAACCTTTTGAGAAATACTGTGGGTTTAAAATATTTCCTTACTATATTTTGAGAACCTTGTGTGAATGAAATCTTGGTTATAGTTACATTATAGATATTAATTGGTTAATGGTAAATACACTCACAGTTTTAATTAGATCACGCCTTAGATGTTACACAATATCTGGGGCGGAGCCCCGATGAGTGAACTTTAAAAACTGAAAAATGTGTTTTTTACCATTAACCAATTAATATCTATTGTGTAAGTTACTTGTACCAGAGGACCAATGAGAGAAAAGCTGGTTGACAGTTAGCACCGCCCACTTCATTCTGTCAAGCCATGGCCCGGAGTCTGTATAAATACCTTTCTCCATCAGAACGGAACGTATTTTGAATGCTGCGTCTAGGGTATCGTCGATCAAAAAAAAAATCGGAATGGTCGACCATTATTGGGTATGAGTGAAGATGTTGCAGCTTACACAGAGGGCTTGATTTTTGTCAGGAACAGAGGAAGCGATCGTAAAGTATTTTATTTTAGGATGTTATTCCTTTCGAAGATCGATTTTATTTGTTTTTTTTTTAAAGTTTGGGGGGGGGGGGGGGGGGTTTCAATGGAAAACATCGCCAAAAAATTCATTGAACTTTTCATTTATGCTAAAACTTGTAAGTGATGCTTCATGCGATCAATGTACAAAAACCGCGAAATGATTTCTGACATTTTATATAAAGTTTGAATGGCACTGCAAGCATAGGCGTCGGAAGCAAATTAAAGGGGGGGGGGGGGGGCTAAACCAACCAAAAAAGATAAACCCCAATTTTAAATGCCTATATATTATGTATGTCGACAAATTAATGTTAGTACTCTTGAAGTTTAAAATGTTGACTAAACTCATCTATCAGTTATTGCCAAGGTTTTGAAATAAGCATCATTCATTCATCAGTTAAGGTCGTGTTACATGTATTACGGCTTGATGCCAAATTGTGGGCGTGACTTAAAAACTGTGGTTCTTCTGGCAAATACACCACAGCAACATCAAAGTAAAATTTGAATTTACTGCCAGTCCTATGGTACAAATTTTATTTAACTTTTAGAAGAATCATCTCTACACTGCATACGGGGGGGGGGGGGTCTGCAAGTGGAGTGATATGCCCTTCGATCTAAATTGAATTCGAGCTTCATTGTAAAATCTGTTACCAAATCATGTCGCATTATCAACATTTTAAAAGATGGATATATTGAAATACTAATACACATTTTGTTGGAGTGTATTTTCTCAACTGAAGTAAGCAGTAGTAATGTGTGTTCATTAATTTTTTTCTTAAAAGGAGGGGGGTAGTGCCACTATCATATATTGAGAACGAAATAAGTAAATTCAATACTTAGGCCTTTGTGGAAATAAAAATCCCAGATTTGCACTTGTTTCTTATTTATTGTATGCATCTGAACAGAGACGCATAATAGATCATGCATCTGGAGACAATGACTGGTTGAACTGCATTGTTTATTATTATAGGAATAGTCCATTTATGGAAAAAAAAACTAACCGCAGGATCGGGAAACAAATTAGAAAAATCATTTCTTTAGTGTTGCATGTCCGCATACTGATATATTATACGATATGTTGTTTAAAAGAATGAGATAAAACATAAACTTGTAGAGAGAATTTCTGAAGCATTAGAAGGAGGTTAAAAGGATAAACTTAAATTATTTAATTCCATGGAACTTGCTAGCACACCCATTCATACAATAGAACAATCCAAGGAAAAGGCGCGAAGAAAGCAGTGACATTTGGCGCGAAAAGAGCGATTCACCCCTTTCGTAGAATGTAAATGGACTGATCCAGTAGTATAGAAATGCAGAAAAAAAGGATGCACGGACATATTGAAACGGTGAATCACATGGAATAATCTGTTCAATGCAAAAAGAGTAAAGGAAGTAAACACTGCAGTATTTTGCATCAGTAATATCATTCTCTTTTCTGAAAACTGTTTCTTTTAAAATGCAGGTAAAGAATTCCAATGTAGATCAGCTTGCATAAAATCTAGCTATCTAGATATGATCTTTTCATAGTTTCGGATTATGAAAATATCAATCCTTATACAGCCTGACGCCGTGACGTCAGGCAACAATGGCCTTGTCAGCAGATACAATTTACTGTAAAATCACATATTTTCGTGGGGGTCAAATTTTCGTAGTTGAGGAACAACCTTTTGTTCGTGAGGATTTGATTTCGTGGATGAAGAATTGTTGAGTAAAGAGGTATCTAACATTTTATATTTCGTAGTGGACATGAATTCGCGGATCTCTTCATACCTCGACAACAACGAAAATCCCCCCCCCCCCCAGTATCATTAGCCAAAAGCTGACTGATGTTTTTATACTAGTTGTTAGTTCATTATATACACACTGATTTGTGGACGGATTTTCCCGTTATTTTCCAATCATGACAAGGAGCACATGGCGGGTGTGACCGGTCAGCAGGGGATGCTCAAACCTCCATGGTACCTGATCACACCCCTGATGTTTTGGAGGTCCGTGTTTGTTCTGCCCCAATTTTGTATTGTTTAATGGACTTCTGAACTTGAATACTGTTCGTTATATCTAATTATCCCAGTGAACTTAAAGAGTCTAGCTGACATATTCGTTTCATATTTGGATATTTTACATGTACTAGAAAAGACGTTAATTAATAGTAATAGAAAAACAAAACTTTAAGATAAAAGTGATTATTTTAACTTTTCAATCCCCTTACTTATGCAGCAGTAAACCCTTTTCACCGGCATATGGATTTACTTTATCACTCTCAATTAATTCGATGCAGAAGAGCATTCTCTACGATGAACAATTTCTAAGTTTCCATCGGAAAGATACTTTGAGTGTTTTACTTTTCCATTGTGAAATTTATTGGGATTGTTAACTTTGCCATCCATTACCGGTCTTGTAGAGTAGGCTTTCACCCCTAAAATCTCCCCCCCCCCCGGAAAACTGGCTCTAGGGTAGACTTTCCCCCCGGAAAACTGGCTCTAGAGTAGGACCCCCCAGGAAAACTGGCTCTAGAGTAGGATTTCCCCTACGGAAATCCCACACCAGAGTCAATTTTCCGGGGGGAAATCCTACTCTGTATAGTAGTTATAGAGTGCGATTTCCCCCAGAGTCAATTTTCCCCGCAGTGAAATATAATGATATGAGGACAGGTGATACAAACAAACCTTGAAAATTACAATTTAAGTCATATTTAAATAAGTAAAATGAAAGTTAAATTTTTCATGAAAAGTTCACAAAAATAGGATTTAAAGAGATTTAATATGACAAAAAATTGTATAGATTATTAAGGATGGTTACAGAAAGGTGAAATTTGAATCATAGTAAGTTTACAACTTTTTAATATTTTAGAAAGTTTATTATTGTAATAATTTACAACCAAAATAGGTCCAAAAATATATAGCAATCTAGACATTTTTGTTTGTTTCATTATATTTTGAGAATATATATATACAATTCATTTGAAAGCTAAATATTTTGGTTGAGATTCCATGATTTGCCTTACAAAATAAGTCGGAAAAAACACTCATTTACCTTTTAAAAATCAGTTTGTCCTTTATATTTTTTTCACAAAAATATTGCAGCTGTGGTTTATATTGACTCCATAACGAGGGGGGAAATCCTACTCTGAGAAAGAAAGAGGGGGAATTTGGCTCTGATGTGAGATTTTCCCTCGAGGGGGGGGGGATCCTACTCTAGAGTACGATTTCCGGGGGGAAAGCTGGCTATGGGGGAAATCCTACTCTACAACACCGGTACATAAAATAAGAGATAACCATCTATCTTTTATTCGCAGTTCTTCCTTTATTCAAAATGCTCTTATGTTGGGGTTGACTAACTTAACATAAATTATCACATATTTCTACCCCCCCCCCCCCCGCATGAAAAGTGGAATGGGGGTATATAGTGATGGGGATGTCTGTCCTTTACACTTATGGGTATCCATCCTTTTTTCGCCATTCCTCTTTCACCCCACAATGCAAATTAAGGAATCCTTTAACATTTTATGTACTTCCCATTCTTCATTTGGTTATACTTTAAGTAAAACTTGGACTCACCATTATTTTTTTAATATTCACGGGTACCCTTATTCAAAACTCCCATACCACGAAAAAATGACTCTTTTACAGAATCTTTATAACATACCCCGGATGTACCATGATATTGCATCTTTTTAATATGTTATGTTCAGAAAAATATTTAGGAAAGTTAAATTTTGCTATCATTCACATATAACGACAGTGGGGCCATCACTATATGATCGCGGTGCTCACATTACCTCAGTGTTCCGTCTTGTTTATGATTTTGCATTCATTTTAATATATATGCATTATTAAGTGCATTATAAGTTGAATAAAGATTCTCATTAATATAAATATTATATACATGTATCTTATTTTTTATTAATAAATAATTTTTATTTTTTTATATTCAAACATACGAGTAACAAACATTAAATACAACATTTATTGTAACAGTAACAATTCCTTTCTTTAGTACATGTATTTATTTATATTTATCTGAGTAACCTGTCACATTAAGAATAATTTAAGTCTGAAACATCTGTGCCTTTTGATAATTCCTTAATGAGATATATCATTTGAATAACAGATCAGTGCCTGAATTCACAATCGAGCCATTGGATGCTGTTCACTTCGTCCAGTTTGAGCAGGTTTGATGTAATTATGATAAGAATCCAAAACCTGTAAAAGTGAGAAAAAATACATAAAATTTAAAGAAAAAATATGTACGGTATGGTAACAATATAAAGTGCATGATTTACTAGTATGTATGATTTACAGTCTTTCATAATGATACTAAATTTCATTTTCATCATGTTTTTCTCTGCGAAAGCAGAAGCATTAAAAAAGGAATCCAACATGATGTGCGACTGTATATGAATTTATCCAACGATTTACATTTTTCTAACTCGCAAGGCCCAGGAATAGAAATCATACAACTGAATAAAAATCATATCCAACCAGAGATAATGAGATATTAATTTATAAGACATCAAAACGAGTACCTCTTTGTTATTAAGAGGGGAATTTTTGGCGTACTCGTACAAAGCCTGGTACACCTGGCCATCGTAACGGCCTAAACAGCTATCCAGAATTTTGTCCGGATAATCAAATGCGTCCACTAGGGCTACAGCATTGGGTCTGATCTCAGCCAAAAGGTCTGCAAGTTTGTTTTGAAGAATGGAGACTTGTTGAGGACTAAAATATCCATCCTGCAAAGGAAAATAAAATTAGGTTACATTCATTTCCCTTTGGAGTGAGTATACATGTCAATTGCCAATCACAAGCTCTTTTAAAAACCAGGTGTTATGGAAGTCGTGAGTAATATTTCGAAATTTTTCCAACAAAGATATAAATGTTGCAATCTTAAATAACGTCTAATCATATAAAAAATCAATTTTGAATTGATTCTACAATATGTTGAGTTCATGCCTATACCCTGAATTCCTTAATTACAGATATTATTAAATCGTTCCATGTCTAAACTTCTGACTTTTCATTGTAAACAAACTCTGAAGTGTCTTAGATATTGACGAAACAAAATCACCCTTAGAGTTTTTGATCTTCAACTTCTTTGGAGGAGATTAAAAAAAAAAACAAGGCCCAATATCACTCACTGCTTAGGCTGAAAGCACCATGCAGAGGTAAAATCAATGGGTTTCACCTTAAAGCAGGAGTCCGTCTCTTTATGAGGGATAAAATCTTGAATGGGACGTTAAATAACAAAACAAGTCTAGCTGATGCATCATCACTGGTAAAGTAAAAGAGGTTGAAAATGACGAGAAGCAACCTTTTTATAAAGATTCTAAAATCAGCCAGCTACCATCTTTCGAACAGTCACAAAAACTCAAGAATATTTCAAGCATTCCACCTTAAAGTATGCCACTTGATAGATTACCTTGAGAAGACCTCAACACTTTGTCAGAGTGGATAAAGATTTCTTAAGTATATGTGAACCATCTTCCCTTCCTTTTTTTAACTAGACTGGAAGTTATAAAAGATTTTGAAAGACTAATTGGAAATATATTATGGTTCCAGATGACAGTGCCCAAAATCACAACTGCAATTAGAACGACGTTTTGATTTCCCTCTGGAATTCCAAATTAAATACAAACTGTTCCCTTTCAGTGAAGTGGTGAAAATTAAAGGTGGATTATCAACAACTCCAAGGGACAGAATCGTGAACATACTGAGTATTACTCATAGATTTTGCAGATTGTTGACTTCTCTAACTTTTGATAAATATGCTAAATGTCAAAGATGGATTAGATACATATAATTGTTATGTTCTCGTGCATTTTACCTGAATGAATTCTCCAAGATTCTCGACGATTCCGTGAACCGCATAAAGTCTACAAAGAGCCATCAGGACATCTTTTGTCGCCTTGTCTACATTAGCAGTACTTACAATGTGAGAAAACGTTCTAACGACAAAAGTATGACAGTAAGCCTGGAAAACGAAAATAGACATAATAACTAGATTAATTGTACTCACAAAGCATGATTGTTTAATAATAATATGTAATAGTTTTTTTTCAGATTGTTAGAACCTTTGCAGCCCATGTGAGAACAACAGTGGATGCATTCCACGCTTCCTGGCGAGATTTTCCAGATCTTTCAAGCTTGGCAATGTGAGTAGCAGCCTCTGAGACCAATCTTTGAAAAGAAAGGTAAAGTCCAAATTTCTGTTTCATATTTTAAAAAATGTGCAAAAGGGAAGGATTCGTCTTATTCTATTGATATGCCACCTTGATATATTCGTCTATACAATTACTTAAAAAAAAACCAGAAAGTTTATATGATCTGATTAAAAAGTGAACTCTTTGGTTTGTACATTTATAAGCAAAGGAAGGAATAACTCACTTAAGCAGCTTTGAGAATTGAAACTTTACAACAGCAATAAATAGAATAATGATCCTTGATAAGGTCTCACAAAATGTTCTTAGGTGTAGTCTACTTGCATGCCACATTATAACAATAATCAAACATGCACCAATGGTATTTGGAGTAGCATTTTGAAAGTATTTAACAGGAAGCAACCTTTTTTCTATTTTTAGCTGACCAAGGCAATAACTTTCAATCTAAGTCAAAAACTGATAAGCAGAATTTGTATTTAGTGTATCTACTGTGTGCCAAGTTATATTGAAATCAGACCAAAACTGTGACGAATTGGATTTTGAAAGAATTTCAAAAAAATTTCTATTTTTAGTAACCATGGCAACACCGTTCATGAAAGAAATTGAATAAAAACTTTAAACAGAATTATGTATTGGAAATGTAGTAAAACTTGTGTGCCAAGTTATATTGAATATCAAACCAAAACTGATAAGAACGTAGCATTTTGAAAGAATTTTACAGAAATTGACCTAACTTTTAAAGGGTTACAAACGGCAACACCTTTCATGAATTTAAGTGACAAGATATACAGAATTATGTGATCTTAGTGCAGTCTACTTGTGTGCTAAGTTACATTGAAGCAAACCAAAACTGTAGGAGACATAGCATTTTGAAAGAATTTTACTGATTCCTATCCTTTTATTAACCTTGGCAACATGTCAGATGAAATCAAAAACCGATAACTTGTTACAAAATGATCTTATCTTATGTAATTCTTGTGTGCCAAGTTTTATTGAAACCAGAACCAAAACTGTAGGAGGAGTACCATTTTGAAACATTTTTCAAAGAAATTTCTACATTTATATTAACCATCGCAAAACCATTCACCAAAATCAAAAACCGATACACAGAATTAATGTAATCTGAAGTGTAGTGTATTTGTACATAATTTTTTGTGAAAACTTTCACCATAATATGATTAAGAGGAGTAGCATTTTGAAAGAATTTAACAGAAATTTTTATTTTCACAATTGTATTTCCAGTGAGAATACCCACTTTTGGCAATAACAAACCGTGGATGAAATTCCAAAAACCGATACACAGAACTTATGTATCTTTCAAGCTTGGCAATTAGTAGTCAGTCTTCTTGTGTACCAAGTTATATTGAAATCGGACCAAAACTGTAGGAGGAGTACACATTTTAAAAAATTGTTTACAGACAAATGGACAAAAGACGGACAGGATTGGACAGAGAGACAGACGGACAACGCGACACCTTGATATATTCTGGTCTCTGCACACACAATTACTTAAAAAAATTAACTGTCCTTCCCACAAAGTTTATATCGATATTAAATATGCATAAGATTAAAAAGTGAACACAACTTAAGTAACCGTAATCTATCATTTTTAAACATTCTTCACAGGACAGGAACTAACTCACCTGGCTGCCCGATGTTCGTAAGCTTTCACGAGACAGTCGACAGCCACCTCTTCCGTCATACAAGATTTCCGACTAAGATCCTCTCCCAAGTACTCCACAAACTTGTGAACCGGTGCCCTTTTCTTTATATCAGGATAGATTTTCATCAAGAATCTGAAATATCATGCACCCATGGAATCATGATGGGAGCTTTTTTATGCCCCGGTAAACGAAGTTTATGGGGTATATAGTTTTTGTCGTGTCCGTCCGTCTGTCTAGCTGTCTGTCTGTTTGTCCGCAAAAACTTTAACCTTGCCCATAACTTTTGATTTAGTGGAGCCATGACTTTCATATTTCACACGTGTATTTCTTGTGACACGACCTTTCTTTGGAAACCACCAAATTTGACCTTTTGACCTTGATCTTGGAGTTTGACCCACTTTTACACAAAAATTCCAAACTTTTACTTTGGCCATATCTTTTGAACAGTAAATACCAGGGCATTTATACTTCACATATGTATTCTTTGCTGAAAGACATTTCATTGAATACCAACAACTTTGACCTTTTGACCTTGACCTTGGAGATTTTCTTACTTTTGAAAAAAACTTTAATCTTGGCAATAAATTTTGAATGGTAAGGGATAGGGCTTTCATCCTTCACATTTATAAACCTTGGGAAAGACCCTTCATTGGATACCAAGAACTTTGACCCTTTAACCTTGAAGTTTGACCTACTTTTAAAAAGCAAACCTTGACCATAACTTTTAAAGGGTTACATGAAGGGCTAGTGCTTTCATACTTTGAATATTTAATTCTTGTGACAAGACCTCTCATTTGATAGCAAGACCTTTGACCCTTTGACCTTGACCTTGGAGTTTGACCTACTTTTAAATATTTTTTCACCTTGGCCATAACTTCTAAAGGGTTAGGGCTACAGGGTTTTCATACTTTACATATGTATAACTATTCTTTGTGGCAAGACCTTTCATTGGATACTGATTACTTTGTCCTTTTGACCTTGACCTTGGAGATTTTTTGTTCTTATGAAAAAAATTTAACCTTGGCCATAACTTTTGAATGCTAAGGGCTAGTGATCTCTTACTTCACTTATGTAATTCTTGTGAGAAGTTCCTTCATTGGAAATCTGAAGAACTTTGACCCTTTGACTTGACCTTGGAGTTTGACCTTCTTTCAAAAAGCAAACCCTAAACATTAATTTTAAAGGGTTATGGCTAGTGCTTTCATACATTATATATTAAATCGTTCTGACAAAACCTTTCATTTGATAGCAAGACCTTTGACCTGACCTTGGAGTTTGACCTACTTTTAAAATTTTTTAACCTTGACGTTAAATTCTGAACGGTTAGGGCTAGGGCTTCCATACTTTACATATGTATTTTTTGTGGCAAGACCTTTCACTGGATACCAATGACATTGACGTTGGAAATTTTTGTACTTATGAAAAAAACTTTAACCTCGGCCAACTTTCATGTTTCACAATTGTATTTCCAGTGAGAATACCCTACTTTTGGTACCAATATATCAAATTCGCATTTTTTTCAGGTTAGAGTTGAGTGACAAATTGCAAAGAATGAACAAAATGAAGACTATACATGTATTTTGCATAGGATCCGTGAGTAGTCATCTATACGTTTGTTAAGTTGGCTAAATAATCTAAATTCTTCTGATATCACCCCGGGATATACTACATTGCACGAGAAACTTTAAAAACACACCTTGCAACTTGAAGCATCATTACATTGTTCTCTCCTTCGTATGTACAACCTGGAGTATAAAACACGTACAGCTTTGGCAGACCGCTGGCATGAGAGTACCCATGTCCCCCGCAACACAAACGACACGTTTCTATCCCCGCTGTGCAGTTCCACGTGCTGAACGCCTTCAAGCCCGCACACACAGCATGTAGCTAGACAATTAGCATTTTAAAACTTGCTTAATATTGTATTTAGGAACAGAAGAGTACTATAAATTGCCATTGTTTAAATAATATGTAAATATGTTTAAAGCATTTACATCAATTTGACATTTTCTTCCGATTAAGAGATGTAGTTTTGCTGATTGATATCTTCATACATCAAAAGATTTAACTTACAAGCGACAGGGGACCATTAGATCCGCTTAAAATGACAACAAATAAACTGTAGCAAAGTCTTACGGTCATTCACGGGGGTGGGGGTGAAGGTATGGGGAAGGTACGGGGGGAAATGCCTCACATGTAGGGCTCAATTCAGGAATTCCAAAACTTACAACAAAACTTATCCTTGTTAATCCACTAGGACTTAGAAGTGACTGAAGTAGAAGAACATCGTAAAAATGGTATAATCAATTAAGAATATGTATTACCTGATTTAAGGAGTCTAGGTTTCCAGCTTCTATTTCTGATGAAATTTCTTCATAGTAATTTTCTGCGTACTTTCCAGTTAAATACATAGCATAGGCAGTAGCGAGAAGGGGAAACAATTTGTACTGCTGAGTTTGGTAATCGATAATCTGTGCCTCAATTCCTCTGTAGAAAAATAATTGAATTATGAATCATTATACAGATAACTTAATTGAGCATTTCCATAATTTAAATTATGACCATACAATTATTTAACTAGAAATTATAAAACGCCTTTTTACCATGCATTGGATACCAACATAGTCAATGCACAGTAAACAATGCACAGTAAACAAAAATTGCTTCACAAATCATCTAAAATGACAGAAATATTTACTGTTTTCAATTTTATTCACACGCCAGCTTCGCTAGCCAAGGGTTTCCGATCCGAAGTCTAGTATATAACTACTTAGTATATTTCTGATCGGAAACCCTTCGCTAGCGAAAATGTACACACAGGGGCTTTTGATTTTAACTACGGTTTTTGTGAATGTTTATTGTAAATGTTCTAAAAAAAATATTAGGAATACACCAAAAGAAGCAATTTCAGATGACAGTTTAAATGTTGACATTCAGAGATACAACTTTTGAACAACAATTTTTATTTGGTTGATCTGTAGCTCTCTAGTAGTCAATCCCATTTTTCGGACCAGTGATTTACAAACCTGCAGCTAGGAAGCCCAAACTATATTAAGTCAGTTCTGCTCGTATTTTTGTTAATTTCAAATATCAATTGGCTAGATGTTGAAGACGAATGGTGTCTACATTATTACATGCTTTTCATAAAAAATTTCTAAATTAACTTGACCTTTTTAAACCTCTTGGTCAGGGGCGACAACAAACCAAAGTTTTCATCCCAGTCCCAGTCAGAGATTATGGCCCGAATGTCTTTCAGCATTGCTCATATTCCCCTTTTAACATTTGAGAAACAATGTATGACAGGAGGACAAGCCAATAGCATGACAACAATATTAAGAGAGATATACTCAATTCTGAATTGATTTACCCCGGAGACACTTCCGTTTGGCGACGCACGGCGCTATAACGAATAGCAATCACACACGCCTGAGCTAGCCCTCTCGCACTATTGGTAACAATCCGGGCTCGGACAAAAACCATGGTTCCGTATCCTATTCTCTGATTGGCTGGTTGTTTGAACGTTCCATCCTCAAGAACCTGCATAGAAAGAAAAATACTCCTATATCTAATAGTAAGAAATTCTTTACTTTAGCATAAAATGCACAAGTTAGCATATGACCTTAGATCTCTTATCCTAGATTTCCAATTAGAAATTAAAAATAGCTTCAACTTAATTCTGATTTTGAAAGAGAAACTTGAAAAAAAATCGGTTAAAAAAATAGGAAAATCGGCCCAAATTAGAACCAGAAAACGTAATTTAAACCCCCATTTCGCCATTAGGGTACAGTTGTTGTCATATTTTCAGTAAAGAATTAGTATAGGCGAAATACCGGTATTCATTACAGTATATGCCAAACACTGATTCTAACCTTAGCATAACGCATCAGCATATTATTTCTGGGAATTCTGACATTAGTCAGCTTCAAGTACCCATTATCATTTGTTCCAAATCCAAACTTTGTTCCGATGTCTCCCGATTCTACCCCTACAAATACAAAGAACTATATGCGGTATATTGCATATATTTGCCCCCACAAAAGTCAAATTTTGAAAACTTCCTGAAATGAGCTGAATTCAATAAATTGTATGAGAAATATAAATTAACAGAAAATATTATAGTGTCAAAGCAGTGTATTCACAATTTGTGTTTTTATGACGTCACAAACTAGTCCGATTTTATATCCTTTTTCAGAAAGAGGACAAAATGGACAAAATTAAAGGAAATCTTCAACAATTTTAGCTTTTAAATTTATAGAGCGCAAGTTTGTTCAGGAACAATATTGACATATTTCATTGATATTATCATTCTACACATTATATCAAAATATTGATCCTGAACACACATGCGCTCGGTGACTTCTACTCAAAATATCGACGAAATATGTACATATTTCTGTAAAATTCATTAAAAACTGAAATTTACGTCATTTTTGTGACGTCATTACGTACGTATGGCGTCATTACTTATGAAAATATTCAGTGCTTTGAAGTCAGCATATACTCCCCTGTTTAAGAACTTAATTAAATATATCACCATCAAAGTTTGATTTGGGGGGCAAATATTGGTTATTACCGAATAAAGTTCTTTAGAAAAATATTCAGTAAAACGTTTTTAAAACACTAATTTTGAAGTGAGTATGTAAAAAAAAAATTACCTGGTAGAAGTTGATGTGTTTTCATATCTCTAAGCTGCACCAAAAATAAATGGATGCCTTCCCTTTTCCCATTGGTAATCAGCTGGGCCATTACCAGGCAGCAATTGGATGTTTTACCCACTGAAGTATCATTTAGAATACTACATATACATAATTATAGGGCGAAATCAACATAACAACGTTAGGTAAAGAAAAAAATCTTTAAAATGTTTTGATATTGTGCTTTCTAGGCCTCCCAAACATTCATTTCTTTAAAGCATTAATTCCTGACGCTCTACACAATATAGATAAACCTGTTTACAGCTATACTACTTTTAAAAGTAAGGATGTAGGGGTGAATCACGTGTCTTTTAATGCATTTTGTAATATAGATATCATACAGTACTATAGAATCTTACGTCCACCCGGCCAGTACTTCATCGAGGTCACGGTCGGAGAATTCAACACAAACTCCTGTCTGGAAGGATCATATGTTGCTGTTGTTTCAAGTCCTCTGATAAAGGTACCTAAAATTTAATAAACACTTACAGTGATCAAATAATGTTTGACACATGTTATTAAAGAATATACCTTCATCAACTTGAATGTATTAGAATAGAAAATATGAGTTTTCTGCCAAATAATATAAAGGTAGACGATTCTGAAAATCAGATATGTGCACATTTTCTACAACGAAGGATCCTCCAAAATTAAGGTTTATTTATGCATAATCAATATTCAAAAAAGTTAACTACTAAAGATAATGAAATTTCTAACAATGTATTTTTCACCTGATCGCGTTTAGAAATTTTTTACTTTTTAATATAAATCTTTCAATACCATGACCCATCTCTGTTTGAGCATAGGTTCCTATTAGTTGAAGACGTTTGGCAAGAGGGAGCCATTTCTCCATTTGTTCTTTTGTCCCTTGTTTCTCAATGGATGGTATAAACATGCCCGTATGTAGTGAAAGGGGACTATACTCCTGAGGAGCTCCAGCCCTTAAAATCAAGAATTTTCCCTTTAATTTTAAATTGTTCAATTTAGGTTAATTTAATTAAAAGTTGTTTTGTAAAATTTAAGATAATATTGACTTTTGAAACAAATGATATTTATTTAACTGTATTTAGATATTACAGTACTTGGTAATCTTTTCACTTACTCTGTGAAGTAAAATTTCTCTGCGGGATCCGTGATACCCATTTCTTCTAACTTTTTCATTATGTAGATATGTTTCCACAAAGCTGTCTCGTACTGTTCATTCCTGTCTTGGAAAGCCCAGGGTTTGGCTCGACTGAGCACTGGGTCTTGAATGGCAGCATTGTCTGTTGATAGAACTCGAAGATAATTAACACCAAAAAAATACATAAGGTGAAATTAATAGTCATTCTCTGTAACCACTTAAACTTCGTTGCCATGCATGGTCACCGATTTTGATGAAACTTCACCCATGCTTAGCACTTGACACCAGAAACAAATATCAAACAAAATTTTGTTGCTATGTGTCTCGGTTGCTATGGCAACAGCCGGAAAAGTTTGAAAAATCGAGATTTTCAGCTACTGTAAATCTTGACTGTGGCTTAATAAAAACTAGAAAAAGCAAACAAACCAATCTCACAAAAACATGACACCTTGATGTCACCTTTACTGTAAAGAAACTGTTTAGAATATATCTCGAAGTAAGTGGTAACCAAGGGTGCATTTGGAATACATTTAAAATGCTGAAATATGCTGAAAAACACTCCGTATTCACTAATGGTAGGTGTTACATGCTCAAACTCAATCAACGACTTAAGAAAAACAATGAAAATGTTTGACCTTGAGTATATACGTATAAGCAATATTATTCTATAAATAACTTTTATGGTTGCCATGGTAACACAGTGTAACCATGCAAAACCAGGAACTAAGATTGGGTAAATGCTACTGTCTTGAGGAAAAACATTAAAATTCAAGACTGGCAAATATGCATCCTTAGGACCTTGCAACACCAAAACCATAAGAAAAATTGGGTATAATTGCTACATTGCAGTGTTACCATGGAAACAAAGTACAAGTGCTTAAAAGTGAATCATTTTTCGCTGCATTAAGAACTAAATTGCCATTTAATCAAGAAACAAATTAAGGGACTCAGCTTGAATAGTACTTATCTGTTAGAACTAAAGTTGAATATCATATATTGATAAAATTTGATGAAGAAAACAACACTGTTGCTATGGTTACCAAGAAGGGAAAATGTTCGATTTTGTGAACTTTATATCAATATTAAACCCTGTGTGCCAACTTCTTGCATCCACTTAGAGATTGGATGATAGTCAAAATTAAAAGTCAGGTTAGCTGTTAATAAATATCAATCATAAAAGTTTTGGGAATCTACATTTAAGGGTACGTATCCAAGGAAAGAAAATATTTTTCAGGTTTTTAAGCATATATTTTCTGCTTATTTCCATAGCAACGCTCTATTTAAAGAATCTTATCTGAATTTTTTCAAATGAGAAAACTAGGAGCACACCAACATCTTTAAAATTTGATCATTAGTTTTGAGGAAATGTTCTTTTTTAAAAGATAGGATCAGATTTAAACATACAAAGTGTTACTTTGAAGGCTCTCTGTGGTATAAAAACCTTGGCAACCATTGCCAACCAAAATGAAATGTCATATTTTGTTCTTGGTATATGTTTCAAGGCTCTTTTTTCTATTATTTTGTAACATTTCATCCTATAATTGCTTTTTATTTTTACGTGTATGACTTTACAAAATTCAATGAATATTTTTTTACTTTTGAATACTTTGTTACCATAGTAACTTATGTAATAGTTTATTTACCAAACATGTTTATCATGCATTTGAGACATCTGACCTTCAACTTTTGGAAACACTCATTGCCAATTGTTTGCTTTGCCGCAAATGTTAACTTTGGGGCTCTAAACATGTTAAAAAATGCCATTTTTCGAACTTTAAGACATGTTGCCATGGTAACTATAAAACATAGCAACCAATTTTTGCCTGATTTCAGTTTAGGGTATCAATGACTTTTATCATAGAGAGTTTGGAGAAATTCTGAGATTATGCGTGCCACAGCTCCTATATAAAATTTCAAATCATTACAGAGAATGGCTCTTGAATAAATATCATTACTTGTTGCACAATATTTTTGAAAGAAAGAAATATAATCATGACATTGATTTTTTTGTTTATTAGAAGTATATGTATTCATCATATATTTAATGTGTTGTCTTTTTTTTTTTTTTTACATATTCATTACGATATGCATGCATTGAACAAAACATGGATGCAGTATCACTGTTATATACTGAAATAAAAAAAAAACATTAAAAGAAAAAGAAAATGATGATGACATGCAGATGACGGTATGGATACGAAGATTCTGACTGAGTCGGTTAAGGAATTGCTCGCTATAGCTAATCAATGTAGTTAAAGAAATTAATATTTTATACATAGACATGTTGATGGAGAGCTGACCGTGCCTACTCCTATATCAAAGTTTTTCAAATTTGTGTCATATTTGGAGTTGATCATGGTCATTAAAATATGCATAACGTATAGCTCGATTAGAATTAGATAGATTACATGATCAGTATGTACTGGTCCCTACTGACAAAGCAGGTAACAGCGTTTCTTTGTTTGTAAGGCACATTATATAAATTGTATTTTAGAAGAACTTGGATTTAATTCTACAAATGGTAATCATGGTATACTCAAAGTTCCCTATCTGAGGTAGAAACTCTTCAAAATCATACGTCAGTTTTGAATATTTTTAATATCCCAAAGAACCAAAATGAATTTGAACTGCCATATATATATTAAATTCCGAAACTTCCTAAGAATCCTTACAAACAAAGATACATAGTGGGTCCCAGTAAATGTTCAACAAAGCCTCTTTCTTTACTCCTCACTAAGATATTAACAGAAGTGAAGGAGACATTTCAAGAGTACTGTGCAACAATATATTCAAGAAGTGTTGTAAATCAGATGAGGATACTTAAAAATTCCAAGGAACTTTTGGACAATTTGAAAGCACAAAATTTTACCAAAATCAACAGCGTTAAATCTTACGACTTTTCAACTTTATACACAACCATTCCCCAAGATAATTTAAATCCAGGCTTTTCGATATCATTGACATCTGCTTTTTCAATAAAAATGGAACTCGTAAATTTATTTACCTTGTCATTGGCCATTTGCAAAATCATTTTGTTAAAATATTCTTATTGTACACACAAGTACATGTACTCTGAAGTTGACATAAAAAAATGCTTGTGTTTCTGATTGACAATATCGATGTGATTTTTGGAGACCAGGTCTTCCAACAATATATTGGAATTCCATGGATACCAATTGCGCCCCGATAATAGCAGACCAATTTTTGTATTCATATGAAGCAGAATTTGTGCAAAATCCTATGCGTGGCCTGCATCTCGACATTTAGATATATCGACGACGCATTGTCAATTAACATTATGGTAATTTCCATTCTTATGTCGATACGATATATCCTAGTGAGCTTGAGATAAAAGATAATACAGAGTCTGACACATCTGTTTCAAACTTGGATATTTTACTTGAAAAAGACACTAATTGTAATCTAACAACCAAGCTCTATGATAAACGTGATGTCTTTAACTTTTCTATCGTCAACTTCCCTTACTTATGCAGCAATATACCTTCATCACCTACATACGTAGTTTATATACCTCAGTTGATTCGATACGCAAAAGCATGCTCCACGTACGAACAATTTCTAAAACGAGGTAAATTATTGACAAACAAGTTGATAAGACAAGAATATCAACAGTCTCGTTTAATGTCATCATTTCGCAATTCTATGGAAGATACAATGACCTTGTCAGTAAATACAATTTTTCATCGAGTCAAATGCTGACTGACGTTTTTCATACAAATTGTTAGTCCATTATTTATACACTGAATTGACGACGGACTTTTTCGTTATTTCCCGATCATGACAAGGAGCACACGGCGGGTGTGACCGGTCAGCAGGGGATGCTCACTCCTCATGGCACCTGATCTCACCTCAGATGTTTTAGAGGTCCGTGTTTGCTCTGCTCCTATTTTGTATTGTTTTATGAACAGTAACTTTTGATCTTGAATACTGTTCGTTATCTCCATATGTACAGTAAATACTAGTATATGTAAGAACATCTAGTAAGGACCTTGAATAATTTTAAAATATACAAGAGGAATTCAGTTTTAAAATTTAGCACTGTGTGCAGTACCTATCTTTCTTCAAAACATCCCACGTCCAGTTGCATTAGCGATATTACACGATTACGCATTTCCATTGTGAAAATCTGTTTGCATTTGTTATGGAGTTATGAATCCGCACCGACGAAAATATTCTTGATTAGCACTTGTTCATACTATCATGCAGATCAAATGCCCAATCAAGAATTAATTGAAGCGAAAAAAAATGAAGATTTTTATAACAAACCCAAGAAATTCTGAACTGAATGACATTGATCTTTACTTAGCTCTTACTGTTTATTTTGTTGTATTTAGAATCTATTGTGTATTTTTTTAATTCCATATCTAGATACCGTTGCATAGAGTACATGTAGTACGTTTACATAAAATTCCGTCATGATTTTAAAATCATAAATTCCTTAAGACTTACGTAAATAACGACGTTTGCGTACATTTTCAGGTCCATGGTATAAGAGGTTGGTCACCTGCTCACAGTCAAATGTGGCCCCAGCCCTCTCCCGGGCCAGATCCGAGCTTACTGTCAAGGAGGACATGTTGGGGGATAGAATTATCTGACACGGGTGTCCTCAGGTAGACAAACATACAGGCGGGTTAGAAATTAGGACTTTCTTATTCATGATAACATTACTAAACAAGGGACCGAAGGGCCTTTATGTTCACCTGATAAAATGCAACACTATAACTAAAGGACTCAAAGAAGTATAATATCTACCCAGATAGCATGACTATGTTGGGCCAACATTTGTTAAGGGTTGTATGGTTGGAGTTGGGGGAACAACGTTGGGCTAACGTTGGACCAATGTTACCAAGTCAACCTTCTAGACCATGACGGAATTCCTATGTTGGCCCAACGTTGGTCCAACGTAAGCAACTTCCATTCACTTTAGTTTCCAAAGAAGGAAAGATCATGGCGTTGGCCCAACGTTGGACCAATGTTTATAATACACCCTTAAAGAAAGTGCCTTAATAAGTTTGTAGTAGTATGTTGGCCCAACGTTGGCCCATTATTTGTAATTCACCCTTAAAGAAAGTGCCTTATCAAGTTTGTAGTAGTATGTTGGCCCAACGTTGGCACAATGTTTATAATACATCCTTAAAGAAAGTGCCTTAATAAGTCTGTAGTAGTATGTTGGCCCAACGTTGGCACAATGTTTGTAATACATCCTTAAAGAAAGTGCCTTATCAAGTTGGTAGTATTATGTTGGCCCAACGTTGGCCCATTGTTTGTAATACATCCTTAAAGAACGTGCCCTATCAAGTTGGTAGTAGTATGTTGGCCCAACGTTGGCACAATGTTTGTAATACATCCTTAAAGAACGTGTCCTATCAAGTTGGTAGTAGTATGTTGGCCCAACGTTGGCACAATGTTTGTAATACACACAAGTGTTATTTTGTTTAGGTCTTTCAAAGATGGGATATTTACATTGGGCCAACGTTGGCCCAGTTATTATAATGCCAACTAATTGATGGTGTCTATTTTATAATTAGCTGCTGAGCTTTACGTTGGGACAACGTTGGCACATTCTGAAATAATTAAGAGGACTTTCTATGTCCATGCTTATCATTGATGACTGCTTTTGTTTAGATATAATATTTTCAACATTTTAACTTTGCACTTAAGTGATCAAGAACCAAAGAGTGTTTTATTCTATTTTTTGAATTGTGTATATGTTTATTTATTTGTAATAATTATATAGTGATCGGGACGTCCGTCCGTCCGTCTGTTACTCTTTGGGGTATCCATCTGTTATCCGCTACTCCTCTTATATATAAAAAGATGTGTTTGTGAAACAGCTATGCCCCTGTATGGCAACATAGCGAAGATTAAACTTTTCTTAAATGCAATTTAAATATAATATGCAAATAAACTCCGAAACAGGTGCACTAGCTAGAGTTCTAACTTACTACTTTAAGAATACACTAGATAAAAGATGATGTCCGTCAACTATATTTAGATTTCAAACGCATTCAGTGGCGGATTTAAGGGGGGGCGCACCCGGCGCCCCCCCCCTAAAATTGTCAAAATTAACGTAACTCACAGTTTCGTCTAGAAAATGTAAATATGTTTACTTGGTAGAACTCATTTTTACCCTACAAAATCTCTAGAATCCAGGAGCTTCCAGGGGCCCCCACCAGGGCTTTGCCCTGGACCCACTGGGGGCCTCAAGGCGGCCCCCAGACCCCTTGCCTACTTTTGGCGCCCCCTCGAACTTCAATTCCTGGATCCGCGCCTGGCATTGTAGGTACATGTATCGTACATTAAATTAAAATTCTACTTTCATTTTCAATAAACAGCCATGAAGTAGCAAAAACGTGAGTAGGGTGGCGGTTCCGGTTGGCGGATCTATGTTACTGGCAACAGACAATCATTTTATTTATTTAATAAAACGTCATCACGTATAACGAGGAAACAAACGTTAGTGGTAGCAATACAGCCGCAAGATAAACGTGATAACTTCAACTTTTATCGCCAACTCGCCCTTACTCAAGCAGCAATACATGTACATGTATATCCTTATCACCTGCATATGGTGTTATTGTCTCTCAACTGATTCGATACGCAAGAGCATGTTCTACGTATAAACCATTTCTAAAGCGAGATAAGCTATTGACAAACAAACTGATGAAACAAAAATATCAACAACCTGCATCAAAGTCATCATTTAGCAAATTCTGTGGTCGATACTATGACCTTGTCAACAAAAACAATCCATCATGAAATCAAATGCCGACTGAAATTTTACATACTAACGGTTAGCTAGGCCATTATTTACACACTAAAATGTCAACGGATTATTCTCTTTTCCCCGAACATGACATGGAGCATATCGCGGATGTGTCCGATCGGCATGGTATGCTCACTTCTCGCCTACGGTGTTTTTGACGTCCTTGTTTGCTTTTCTCCCGATTTGCATTGTTTAACGTTAAATGTACCATACCTTTGAATAGTGTTTCTTATCTCCATATTTCATCAAAGTAGATCCATGTTCTTGCTTGTAATTGTCCGTATTTGTCACTATCATCATGCAAACTAAACAATATAACAAAATATAATCTCTTTTTGTCTCTTTTTGTTTGAGAGATAACACTTCTGGACAATTTTAAAAGATATTTCTTTCACTTCGAGAGATATCTCTTAAAAGATAAACTAAGAGAGATATCTCTTTTACTTTAGAAAGATATATCTCCCAAAGTAAAAGGGATACATGTATATCTCTGGGTGAAAGAGATATCTCTCTAGGCGAAAGAGATAACAGTATCTTTTTAACGTTCAAAGATACCTCTTTTCATGAAAAAGATATCTTTCGATGAGAAAGATATCTGTTTAAGTGGAAGAAATATCTCTCTAAGAAAAAGAGATATCTCACTAAGTGAGATATCTCTCTAAGTATAAGAGATCTCTCAAAGTATAAGAGATATCTCTTTCTCAGAGAGATATCTCTTTAAGTTGGGAGATACATTGTATCTCTATATTTCAAGAGATACCTCTCTAAAATGGGAGATATCTCTGTAATTTTAAGATAAATTTTATTTTCCGAATAAATTGCAAAAGGGCTTGCCATAGATCTGAGCTATTACAGCACATTGGATATGGGAGGCGTTAAAGGAGAATTTACCACGTTGTATCAAATATTTTGATTATTTTATGCACTAGCCTTTGGTTGAAAATAAAGTACACAGTATTTTAGATTATTTGAATGAATTGCAATTTTTATAGTAAAATTTTGTTTAAGAATAAAAACACACTGGGAATCACACAGAAAAGCCCCTCCAAGAATGTCACGTTGTATCTTTATATAAATCTGAATATTTTCACATCAGTCTGTTATTTTGGAAATCAATCTCAATATTTATACTTTATCAGTTTCTTAGTCAACCCTTATAAACATGTTTACGGTATACAACATCTTTATCGCAGAATTACATCCTATGCAGATGCCATCGTGAAGTGAATTTGTTTTGGGTTGTTCAGATTTTCTTTAAATTACGTCACGTCAAAAAAAAAAGGGGGGGGGGGGGGGGAAACGATAGAGATAGAAAAAATTTCCTACATACAGTTTTTTTTTCCTGGATTTAGACGAAGAATGTAGTATATATAAAACTCACTGTCTCTTTCTAACTTCGCATTACGGCAACATAAGCCTAACTGAATATTGTACCAAGATTTCTTCCCTGCTTTAAAGCTGACATGAACTCTTAAAAAGGCATCATTTTTCATCTTTGTACGACTTACTACATTCCTGTACGCCTTTGTCCGCCATATTTCTTCGATTCCGCCATATTTAAAGCTGACATGAATTCTTAAAAACGCAACATTTTCATCTATGTACGACTTGTTTCATACCAACTATAGCCGTATTCCGCCATATTTCTTTCAGATACCTTGTCTCATTGTAACGATATATACCCCAAAGCGCTCGTTACAGTTGAATGATTTTTTGGTTTGGGTATCGCCTTGTGCACATCTCCGATGGTAAAGCATATGAGAACACATGATGAGATCAAGACAT